ATGCTTTTCATAGAAAGGTGGAAAAAGAGGATGAATCGTTGGATCATCTTGATATCAAATAAAAGATATACTAAAGGAAAAATCTAAATCAGAACTTCGAATCATTTCGTTGAAGTGAACAGTTGATATTATGCATAAGTACGAACAACAAAAATAGAATAGGACTGGTATCATGTATTATTTTAGTCCACATTTTAAGAACAATTTCAAGTTGAAAAAACACGTTGCTGACCTCACACTCACGATCCAGAATGGTTTTCTGCAAGTCTGAAGTCAAAACTAAAAGCCTTCCGTCGTGAGTGAACGCCGCCAACCATTTTCCATCTAAAGAAACCGCCATCTTCTGCAGCGGCCCATCAAGCACGCCCTCGCCCAGGCGCTGCACTCCATCCTCCTCAACAGCTATCACACACGCCTCCCCAACTCCGAGCAAGACCTCCACATTCCCAGACATGGTGTATTGTGGCTCAATTACCGCCATACAGTGCGGCAAATCCTCAATTCCCGGGTCCGAAAGCTTACACGGATTCGGATTCTTGAAATCCGAGATGCAAAAAATTTGGTTGGCCTCGGTTATGCACACGACTCCATTTCCCCAAAATACACATTCCACTGCATTCTGCTCAAAACACTCCTTACCCATCGAGAAGTTTGGCTCCAGAAGTTCGGCATGGATGTTGTAGCGGTAAACGGTGCCATCCTGCACGACACAGACAAGAGTTTGATCGTCGGTCCACGACATGCCAATCAACCGCCCTCCAGGGTTCCTCCAAACGGTTTCTGCCAGCTGAATTCCGGCACAGTTGAAGATTCGCAGCTTCCGGAGGGCGGATTCTGCGTAGAGCTGAACGATCTTCGAGTCGTCGCGAATAATGGCGATCGGACCGCCGAATGGAGCGCAGGCGACCTTGTTCCTGCCAAGGTCAATGTGTCTCCATCTCATCGGGTAGAGCTCCGGCTTTCGGTAGTACCGATTGTGGAGGAGCTGCCACTCCGCAGCAACCGATACGTTGGCCATGGATCACAGCCTCCGAATTTTGCAAGAATTCAATCTTTCGAAACGAATTGGATGAACGAAGAGAAGAAGATTCAGAGGTTGAGATTCATGAATTGGTTCAATAACATTAGAATTTGTCGTTTAATCATTTCGATGAATGGGGTGGAAGGAGCAAGAAAAGCAAAGGAAAGTGAAGCTCCCCCGGTCCATTGTGACCTCCGGTCGGGTTGAACCGTTGAATGTTGCGGCGGTTCAAACTCCAAAAAGTATGGAACGAGATTGATGGATAATAATGAGATCAGGCACTCAATGGGCCCAAAAAGAAGCCCATTTACGGCCTCATCGGTTTAAAACATTGGGCCGGCATTAGAAACGGCCCAAAAAGCAATTGAAAAGTAGGCCAATTTCAGAAACATGTAAATGGGCCACTTTTAAAGCCTATAATTTGATTTAATGGGCCCATTTCAGAAATTAGCAAAATTTGTGTTTAGTTGCTCCCTTTCATAATTATAAATATTAAGGACTTCATCTTGTTTTTGTCTTCTCTTTTYAATAAAAAAAAATAGTATTGCAGGGTTCTAATACCTATAGATTTATTGAAATAGGTTAGAGACAAAACCACAAAACTTGTTATTGTTAGTTTTTTAGACAATTTTGAGAATATTTCTAAAAGAAAATTAGAACAATAAAAACATACCTATTTTTCAAATACTTTGGTTTCTTAAATAAAATTAAAAATGAGAAACAAAAAATAAAAACGTTACCAAATTGATCCTTAAAACGTTACTCAACGACTTTCAACAATCAACATAAACARTATCATAAAGTCCCCATATATGTCTTGGGGAATCTTTTTTGCAAGGCATTAACTTTATTATTATCTTTTTTTTTTTTTTTGGTGATAGGATGCAAGTCATTAACTTAATCATAAGAACTTAGGTAAAATATCAATGTGATAGTAATTAGAATCATTAATTTGTACCAACTTTTCTTTTAACCTCATAATGAAGCAACACAATAATAACTTCCTTTCTCTTTTTTTAAACTTTAAGTTCATGTTCAAAAGACACATGATAAAATATGAGTGGAAAAAGAAATTAATTGGTCAGCCTTAAAGGTGGCCAAAATTCAACCTCTCTATTCTTATGTCATGATCTCTCTTCCTCAAAATGTATTGTAATATCCTCCCTTTCTCTCTCTAACCCGGGCACGGATAGAGCGAAAAAGGAAGGAGCAAGGGCAACCGTCCTCCTCTTGGTTCGTCTTAGATTAAAAAAAATTAATATTTTAAAGTTTCCCCCTATATTCACCTTCCCAAACATCTTAAATAAAAAATTATATACATATATATAAAGTTAGAACATAAAAATTTGTCATTCTGTRAGAAAATTTGTAGCTCCATCTAATTTACTAATATGTATTTTTTGAATCACATCTCTCTGGAGTCTCGAACATATATTCTTACACCATTTTTCTCTCAAGAAAAAGAAAAACAAAAGAGAGAAGAAAAAGAAAGTAAGAACAACTCAAAAGGTAGTCTTTATGGGCAAGGTTGATGATTGTGTGTCATATTGGATGTTTGTTACCATCTTTTTTCATTTGTTTTGACACTTGGGAGAATTTACAGTCGAATGAGAGCCATTCATAAAAGCTTGAAATTAAACCCATTTGTTTGTTAAAATCACATCTCAACTGATCACATGGTTATTATGGGACCCCTATTTTAAAATTTTGGCCCCAACATGCACTATATATAATAATAATCTCAATACATGTCTTGCTCTTTGTTTAGGCGCTTCCGATTTTTTATAAGATATRTTTGAGATTTATTTTTTTAAAATGAATTGTTAATATTGTGTCTCATCTATGAAGTTTGTAGTCTTTTTTTTATTTGCCAAGTTTCGTTTGCGTTAGCAATTCTCTTATTGGTATTCATGTCGTCTTATTAACAGATCTATTGACAGATCTCTTTGTTCTCTATTTATGTCTCGATCTCATCGTGCGATGATATATATATATATATTTTTTTTTGCAAAAATGATAGATAAAAATAATCTCAATTTGTGAGGTTGACAGAAAGAGAGACCAATGATGATTTGCAGGGCATTATATTCAATCAAGTATTTGTGTTTTCTTTTTAGAGAGAGAGAGGGCTGGTGGTTAGTTAGAGGTTGCTAATCTCTCTCTCTCTCATGAAAAAAATCCACTTGATTAAACTTCAAACTCAAATTTTCCCAATCACCCATATGAGAATTGCTTAAATTATTTAATCTTCCATTAATTATGATGTACTTCTATTCACTCTTATTTAATAATCATTTCTATAAAGTTTTTTTTTTAATAATTTCTTTATTTGTAACACATCTTTTAGAAACATTTTAAGAGCCAAAAAAAAATCTTTTTTTTTTTGTGAAATTTGGCTTAAGACTTAAAGTATAGAAACTAAGTAGGTATAATTTTAAAAATTTAATTCCTTAAAAAAWTTTAAAATTTAAGAAACAAACTTATAGTTGAGCTAAAAACTAATTATTTCATGAAACAACAAAATAGCATATAAATACTTTTATTTAATAATATTAGGACAAACCCTGCATATTTATTAGCTAATAAATAAACTTTTTATGAAAACATCATTATAAAAAGTGGACAAAGTCCTCCCTCTCTCTCTTAGCCCACATAAAGAAACTAATGGCATGTTTGTTAAGCAAATTGCCTTGTATATTTGTTTAGCAAATTTGTTTTTAAAAACAGTTTTTCAATCAGAATTCTRTAATCAAAATAGTAGAAATGTTGGAAAAAATATTTTTATGTTCCAGTGTTTTCAGATTTTTTAATTTGAAACTTTAAAATGTAGAATTATATTAAAAAATATTAAAAAAATGGATAGATATATTATTCATATTATAAACTTATTTCTTTTGTTAAATTTTAAAAACATAAAACATAAAACATTATAAATTATATCATTATGTAGAATAATATGTTAATAAATAAATTAATATTATTTTAGATTAAACTAAATATTAATTGGTAACTAGTATACGAATATATTACTTGACTTTTTAAATTAAGATTCTATTTTCAAATACGCTACCAAACACATATTCGAAAACACTGAAATGTATTTTACTATTCGGATATAATTAAGAAGAATCTCTCTCTCAACAAACTTATCCTAAGATCCTTTCTCTCTCTAGTTTTCTTCTTGAGTACATGCTTTATTGAATGATTTTCAAACAAGTTAGAAAAGCCTGTATTGGCTATTACAATTCACTGGTTCAAAAGCAATAATTAACAATATCTTGTCAAAAAGAATAAACCAACAGTAAAAAGAGAATTTGGATACATCCAACTTTTTCTTACCCACCTCACCTTTTTAGATCTTCATGCTTCTTTTTTTGGTCTGTGAGTTGAAAAATTATACATTAATCAAATCTGTTGACAATTTCGCAAAAGTAACATGAACTTTCACTGATTTATCGCTACTAAACATCTCGCTTTCACCATCAACTAAAACTAAATTTGCGGTAGTGTAGGCAACTTTATCCGTCTATAGTTCAAGTAGGTAAAAAATTTTCATAGGAAAACCTATACTTTTGTAGAATCTCGTCCTAAATGCTCACTATCCCGAGTGAGCAAAGCATTGAGACGTTAGCTAGAAGCAAAAGATAATAATAATGAATGGTCCATTTATTGAGACGGGTGAACGATATAGATTCAACCCGTGCATGACCTTCATTCATTTGGCTACATAAACTCTTACTCGATACAAATTCAAGTCTCAATCCATGATAAGATGATTAAGAGATAATTCTTAACCCTACAAGCAATTTATGGACAAAATAATAGAAGAATCACTCAAAAAAATGGTGACCAAAAAGATGATGTAAGATTGGAAGAGATTCCCATAGACAAAATAAGAGCAAATTTAGTTGAGTGGTAATAGAACACACCACTCTCGTGAATGCTCAGTTAAATGGAAACAAACAAAATTTGTTGAATGTGTGTGTTTGTGGGGCGTCTATGGCGTATGTACATAGAGAAGACAATGGTGGACAACAAAAGATAATGTTCTGAGCAGAATCCACTAACAACCCACTTTCCATGTTCTGCTTCAAATTTTCTCTCTTGGTGAAAGCTGCAACATTTTGCTGTGAAATTCCACCACATTCTTCATTTCACACTCCATAAAATGATATAAAATTTCACAGTGAACGCCACATGGTTGAAAAACTTTGTCCATACCGACCATCCATTCCCTCCCACCTTGAAGTTTTCATAACTAAAAAATGTTTTCGAAATGGCACCAACTTCTAAACATTCTTTTTCTTTTATCTTTTTTGCATTTTCGACTAACCTTGAAAGACTACATTGACTCTGCTACATTTAGTTTCTAAGAAAACTCGTAAGATATTAAATCCTAAGTAGATGACCACCATGGTTTGAATCATTCTTTAGAAACTCCTTACTTTTTTACTTGCCTCATGTACCATTAAGCCAACTCAGAGTGGTTTGTAGAGTGGTGAGAATAAAACAATATATGACACCCACTTTGAGTTTCTTAAAAGTCAAAGAAAATCATTGAGGATAAAACTTCCATCCTTTGATTATCTTGTAAAAATTGAACTTTTATCTATTTGGGGTAGAAACTGTTCAAGTGGGTGTCTACAGTAATCTCAAGGGGGGGGTGTTGAGAGAAAAGAGAGAGAGAGATCTTGGAGTGGTTGTATTTCTTGAGAAAATCAAGTACCTCACTCTTTTGGTATTATTGATCACTACCTTTAGTGGTCCTCCTCCTCTAACATTGTCCTGCTTTTTCTTTTTTCCTCATTGCTACAAAAGCTTTCAAAATCCCTTATGAAATCCAGAGCAACCAAATAGCAGCAGCTAAGGGTGGCTTCTGCATTTGCCTGTTTTATCACAAGCAAATTAAACAATGTCATTTTTGCAGAAGAGAGCGTTTTCTTTCTCCATCCCTAAAAGTTCAATTCTTCTTCTCTTTCTTCTTCTCACTTTTCAACCAGTCAGTTCATCAAAAGAGCCCATGAAGAATGTAGGCTTCAATACAACCAAGAAAGACCACAGCCAGAAGGTTTCTTCTTCTTCTTCTTTCATTTCACATTTTACATGTTTTCGTGTTTGAAACGAATATCGTTGCAGAAAACAGAATTTCTCCCACTGGAAAAGAAAAGAGAGAGTGGTTAAGAATGTATAGCATAAACTGATTATTGGTTATAATGGTAACAGATGAGTTCCAGCCTACTGTTTGATATCACACTCCATGGGTTTCTCCTATGGGCTTCAATGGGGTTCCTGATGCCTGTTGGAATACTAGTTATCAGAATGTCTAACAGAGAGCAATGTGGAAGAAGGCTGAAAATTCTTCTTTACATTCATACAATTCTACAGGCAAGTTCATCACAATCTTCTCCAGCAATACTCTCAAATACTATAATGACTACTTTTTTCGGTTTTTGTTTTCATAAAGAAGAATCCTTTTTAACTAAACAAGCAATTAAGTGTATAGAGTTTCAGGAAAGCACCATTAAGGCATTGAACTTTTTCTTTTTGTTAAGAAAGCAAACAATCAACTTTTTTCTTAACTTTATGAACCTAATGATGGTTCAAGAGAAACCACAAGGAAAGGCTCCTGATTCTGAATATCTTATACAGCCCCCAAGTTTGTTAACACAAAAGTTAATCAAACAGATTATTATGAATACTTGTGCTGAAAGAAAAGACACTCATATCATCATATTCTAACTAATTTGAAACTCATAGCCAAATATCCACATTGTTGAAATCTGGCAGGTTTATGGATTATAGTATTGGAGTTAGGTGAGATTTAACTCTACAAAGTCAAGAAGATATAAAATTTATGTAGGCAGTTGAGGGATTTTGATCATCCTCTAACCACATAGATGGGGTCCACTTTAATGAATCTCGGTCCAATAAACAATAGCAATGCACCGATCAAGATGATAGTATTTTTCCATTCTATAATAAGTTGATTTAGCCATTACATTATCTTGACTTTTTTATGTTCACAGATACTCTCTGTATTACTAGTCACAGCAGGAGGAGTCATGTCTATCAAAAAATTCAACAATGCTTTCAATAATAACCACCAAAGGATAGGGATTGGCCTATATGGGATGATCTGGTTACAGGCATTGATTGGAATTGTAAGGCCAAAGAGGTAAATTTTCATACTTCTTCATATATGCAACGATAGGTTATTAGAAAAAGTTATCTAGGTTGTTTTCAGAATAGCTTCTTGTACTATTTTTGGAACTGTTTTTAAGATTATGATTGAGAAGCTTATAAATCTTTGTGTTATCATGTACGAGAGCCTAGAATTTTGGAAGGAAGAAGAATATTGGTTGTTGTAAAAATAGGTCATCTAAGAACAAATTTAGGACCACCATGGGTCGACCGAGTAGTCATTGAGACCAATAAAAAGAGTAAAGACATTAGAGAGAATATGTTTGAACTATGTGGCCACCTACCTAGGAATTAATAACTTTTTAACTTTTTTTGGCAATCAAACATAATAAGGTCAAGTAGTTGTCTTGTCAGATCAATCGAGGTAGGCATAAAATGACCCCCAATACTCACGAATATTGAAAAAATAACTTAAGGAAAAACAATTTTTTTTAGATAATGTCACAAAAAAATTACAAAGAGGAAGATAAACAGTCTTTCATTAAGGCTTCAGACACTTTTCAATTGCAATCTTCAAGCCATATCTGAAGCCTCTTTGTCTCTATCGCGAGTTTAGCCATCTGGTGTGCAGCCTCATTTCCTCCATGCTTTGTAAAGCTGAAGGATAAAGACAGAAAAAACAAATTTTTGAAAGTAGTTATTCAACCTTTTTTTACTGAATTTTTTGTTCTAAAAAAACACCTAAATACAGCCTCCAACCAGCCCCTTAAGAAACACCTCTACATAATTCAACTGCTGTGGATTTAGTTCAGGAGAGAGGATACAGTCTGTTCAGTTTTGATTTCCAAATTCTGAATCCACATTATTCTCTCCTTTATGCAGGGGCTCTAATAGAAGAAGCCTATGGTTTTTCATACACTGGGTGCTTGGCACTGCAGTATCTCTCTTAGGAATCTTCAATGTATACTCAGGATTATTTGCTTACCATGAGAAGACATCACGAAGTATAGGAATTTGGACAACAATTTTCACTGTTGAAATTTCTTTGATTTCCTTCTTTTACCTATTCCAAGACAAATTGGAGTATATAAAAAAGCAAGGAGTTATTTTGGGCAATGATTTGGTAACTCCTACTGATCAAGTGCTCTCTCCAAATGACAAGCAAAAGGAGCTGCCCACCGATCCTTGCTGAAGGAGTAAATAGGGCTATAAAAAATTTGTTTTTTCACTAACATGAGTTTGTTGTCATTCTTCATACTTATTTCTCTCTTCTTATTGGATTTGTATAGGAAAGGAATGTGTGGTGTTCTGAAGAAAATGAAATTGGAGTTTGCAGGAGGAGATACTTTCTGATAATATAATGTTGTTTGGCTGACTTTTTGAAGAAGAAAGATGTAATACTGTGATCTAATAGTCAGTGTAAAATACAGTCTATCATAATGTTCAAATTTGCTCAGGTAATGGGAAAAAAAAATAAAAATACAATGGTACTAACATTGTGTGGATATGGAAGTCTCATTTTCAAGCTTTTGTTTCTCATAAATAAAATTTCAAGGTCAATATGAGCATAACTGACCAAAATATTATTTATGTCCTTAGAAGGTCGGAGGTTTCAATCCCCTACCCTTGTTAAACTCAAAAAAAAAAATTAAAAAACATATTAGAACCACTGGCATAATTATAATTTTTCAAGAAATATTGAATGAGAAATTGAAAATTAGAAACAGACAAGAAACAATATTACCTAACACATCCAAAAGAACTCAGATGACATAAAAAAGATGTAAAAATGGGCGATGAATCTTCAATATCAAGAGACTATAGCTTCTATATATGATGTTTGTATAAACTGTATATCATGGAAAAAGTTGCACATAACCAGTTAGTACAGCAATTCCCAATATTACAAGAGGTGGCAGAATTACAAATGCTCCAACTGTGGCAAAGAAAACTGAATCATTCCTCTGAGAAACTTCATTCAAGTATGATTGTCTTTTGATATTCCTCTTCTGAGAAATTGTCAAAAACTTTGCACTAACCTTCTTCAAGTTCTTACCCAATGGAATGGTAAAATCGTCGTCTCTGTCTCTGAATAATTGTGCAAGCTGCTCACGAATTGTAATTCTCTGGTAACTGCCGTCACTCTCATAACCTGAAATCATGAAGTATCAGTACGTTCAAGTGAAATTACCTCTTTCAACGAAAGAGGGCTGTTGTTGTCTTTCTATTCCATCTTCATTTGGTTTGCTCTCTTGGAGGAGGGAGAATCAGCTCACTTACCATCAATTAATTGGCTACCAGAAGTGAGTTGCTCCAAGAGATCAAGTTGTGAGCGTGCAGAGGAAGATGATGATCCTTTACAGTTGGAAAAAAATAATGGTAATATTTTAGTACAACAAAAAAAAAAATCTTTAAAACAAGTAGGTTAAATTACACATTTAGTCCATGTGCTTTTTAGCTTCATTTCAATTTGATTTCTAGATTTCTAAAATTTTAACATATTGTCTGTTTCTTTGATTAAAGTTTACCATACATCTAAAGAGTAACAGATTTCCAATATAGCAAGTTTGTCTATAGAAATTGAAAATGGACTTTATGATACGATATTGATAGGATTGCTATTAGAAGGGGAGGGTCCAAGTACCTTGAATTACTAATTACTTGGGAGATGTTGTAGTTATTCTATCTTTTATATTTCAATACACAACTAGTGTTGTCGGGGTTCTATCAAATATATGTTTTAATTATGTGAGAGACGTGATTTCAGTTGGGTTTTAAGATATTATTTTGATTGAGAAGTATAAAATGGCTAGGACTATATTTAATTTTGTTTTCGAGCGCAAAGGACATTGTCATTGAATTTTTTAGATTCATTTTCAAGTGCAACCACAAATAACTAGTTCCATTGGGGTTTATGTTATTCCTCGCTAACTACAAACATTTGATAAGCTTGTTAAAGCACAATAACTAATTTGAAATTATGTTAAAAGCTCAGAAACTAAAAATATATTTCACAGAAAAAAAAAGAACAAAAAGATTATCTTTACTTCATTATATTTATATAGATAGGCCACTTGGATTGGAATTGGAACCCCTCCCATAGCAAAATGGGCCGCATAATATCTATTCCATTAAAAAGAATTTTAAATCTAAATCGTTCAGGCTAGTAACAGGATTCTTCCATTGGAGGGGACTTAAAGTATAGGATCACAGAGCCAATAACCAATCCAGCTCTCAATTTTGAATAAATAACTAATCAACGAGGAAAAAAGAAAAAACAGTAGGATGATGACTGAGATAATCGCAAACAGATACGCAGTAAAGAAGGAAAATCAGTGAATTAATGCATACCAGAAGAAGACGAAGTGAGAGGGAGTTCCTCTTCTTTAACTCTACCCTCGGCTCCCTCTGAAACAGCGAATTTTCTCGAAGAATATGAACGGAGAGAATGAATCTTTGAAAGGGGCGTTTTTTTCTGCAGCAGATTTGAAGAAGAAGAGTGTGGATTTGGGTAATGAAACGCAATAACGAAGTTCGCGGCCATGATTTTATTCCTTTGAGAGGAAAAATCTATGGCTGCTGGTTTCCATTTCAGGGACTTGAGCTGTAAATTGGGGGCTGGAATTTTTCAGTTTTTTTCAGGTGGCCTTTGGAATTTCAATTTCCATCATGCAATTATAGCCACTACAATTTTCTGTATTTCGATCGAAAATAGCTTCACCACCACAAGAACTCTTTGGAGCTTCGATCAGGTGCGGGGCGGTGTTCTGTTATAACTCAAGGAAGTGTGTTGACTTCTGATAATGATTTTTATTGTCGATTTATATGAATGAAATTTGATAACCGAGAGAACCAAGAATATTGGATTTGAGAGCAATCGAGAAGTGAAAAGTATAGAATAATAAAATAGCTCTGACACTCAAGTCAATAGAATTCGATATAGGTTTTYAAGACGAGCGATCAGAATTATGTACCTAAATACGAAGTGTATTGATAGATTTTGATATGTGAGACTCACTCGTCACTAAACACGACTACGAGATTCTAAATGTGACATATGCAATGGTGGGTGAGCAATTGAAAGCAGTTCCATTTTATATGTTGGCTCGACCTTTGCTAAGGTAGAGATCTAAGTGATGTTCCGAAGTATATTTCATTGGCTTTGAGATATGAGGTGTAATACCGATCTCAATAACCTCTATTCTCCTGTCACGTGTAATGTCAGTTTATGCTACCCAATAATTAACGTATGAGTTATTCGTGGTTGAGCTATGACAGATATTAAAATATTGTTAGAGCTAGAAAATGCCAAAAATTAATTCTAATAATAAAATAAGGAGGTCCTAGATAATAAAATATTAATCGATCAGTCCATAGTTAATATTTTCATAATTGAATGTGAAGAACCATTCCAAACTTAGCTCAAGAGAATATACATACTATCATGTCAATAGACCACGGTTTGATCCTCATCCTAGGATCGTTGAATTAAAATAATAATAATAATAATAATAATAGTCAACGTCAACATAACTCAAAAGCGTATCAAGATGCACCAAGATAAGTTCATGCATCGTGATACTTTTTTAGAGTTGAAATTCAACTCCGCATCTATATATTTATTGTACTAAAAAATTGATAAATTATTATTTTCATTATGTCGTAAAAATATGAATAAAATCTTTAAAATGTTATGTAATATAATCAACAAAAAAGTATCACCTTAAACTCAATCCGACCCTTCAAGAGCCATGTGCTGAAGATAATGGGAATAAGATAACTTAATTAAATGTGCTGAAGACAATCAAAGAATCCCAATAAATTATTTATTTTTTAAAAGCCTGCAAAGAAATTGATGCTTGAAACGACGTATCCGTACTCTTGAAAAAAAAATCTAAAGATAATTACTAAATACTATACAAATAGTTCATTTATATCTAAACTTTTGAAGTTCTATTTACTCTTAAAAATTAATATACAATACTAACTTGAATATAGTTCAACTAATTAAAGTATATATTTTCAAGCAAGATGTCGTGGGCTTGAAATGAGAAGTCTAGTCATCCATTAACTCCTCTCGTAGATCGGTGTGTCCAACTGGGTGGACTTAATGATATGTAGGGAGGATCTATGAAAAGCTACTGCGGTCGATTGTAAACTATGCCAACAAAAAGAAACTGTCTTTAGAAATAAAAAATTCAAATAATTATTTCTAAACCATGAACTTATTTTCTATTTATAAAAAGACAAAAAAAAAACTAAAATCGAGGAAGAAATTCAAATAAATCCACTAATAATAGTTAAATTGCTAGTTTTCTTCTCTTCATAATTTTTTTCACTCCTCTGAATTTTGAATTTTCGCTAATTCACTAGTATTATGTCATAAAACAAGAGATTAAATTAAAAATTTTAAACAACATAGACTTAAAGAAAAAGACTAAAACAGCCTTTACAATATTCACCACTGCCCAAAAAAGATTAAAAGAAATCATGAGGGATATTTTGGTCATTTCATTTGACGGAAAGAGAGGAAGGGAAATGCCGAAATGGAAATATGACCGTTGGAAGATCTACGAAAAGCAGGCGTTTCGGCATTATTATTGTATTCCATAATTCCATTTGAAAAAAAAAAAAGGAAAAAAGAATTTAAGAACTCCACATAGAATCAGATTCAAAGTCTTCGTCCAGCGAAACCCAAAACTTTCCGCATAATACTCTCTCTCTCTCACCCACTGTTTCACTCTCCAAAGGGAAACGGGAAGAAGGAGGGAGGGCGGCGGCGGCGGCGGGTTAATGGCGAAGTGCGATCCGGCGGAGGTGGGACCGGAGGCGGCGGCGGTGGCGGTGGAGGAGGCTCATCCCTACGCATTTCATGTATCTGGACCTCGCAATGTTATTTCTCCTAATTGGCGAGACCTCATTAATTCCAGTTGGTAACTTCACTCTACTTTTCAATCCACGCTCTCCTCCATTTCTTTTCGTTCCAGATTTCCTCTGATTCTGGTTTCTTCTTCATTTCTGAACTTGTCATTCATCAATTAGCTTAAAATGATCAACCACGTCTGGTAGAACTTGCGTTCATATTCATCCAGTGAGCAGGCAATGTACCTAAAATAGTAATTTTCTAGGTTAAAATACCACTTCTGTCCAGATAATTTAGATTTTTTCTGTTTCAGTGCACTTTCCTTCTAGAAATTTGGAGAACAAATTCACTCGTTGCATTGAGGTTATTCTTTTCTTGTGCTGAGTGAAATTGACCTCAAACTAGGGCACTATTTTTAAGATTTATTGGGAGCATCAGGATATATTTGAACATTTAAAAGTACAGGGAGGACCAAAATGGTAGTTTAACCATATTTCTATGTGAAACGCTTGTGGGTTTCTCGAGATCGTTAAGATCTCAAATATTGATACTAGATGAATTACGAGACTAGCTTCTGTTTAGGAATTATGTAACATAATTTACTTCGATTTATTGAAACTTAGTAATGAAACTAAATTTCAATGCATAAAAAGGCAAAAAGAACAGAATACTGAAAATCTTGACAGAGAGTGACACTGAACTTTGTTTAGATATCACTATAATATTATGCATCTCCAACATGATGAGGAATTTGCAATATCTACAGGAAGGATGGGAATTACAAAAGGACTGTAGTTGCGTGTTTCATACAAGCAGTTTACTTGCTAGAACTAGACAGGCAAGAGAACAGAAGAAAAGAAAATGCTCTAGCTCCCAAATGGTGGATCCCCTTCAAATACAAGCTAGTTCAAACCTTGATTGATGAAAGAGATGGGTCCATATTTGGTGCAATACTAGAGTGGGATAGGTCTGCAGCCATGGCTGACTTAGTACTCATCAGACCCAGTGGTGCACCAAGGGCAGTTTTGGTATTAAGAGGGACATTACTCAAAAGCCCAACGATCCGACGGGACATTGAAGACGACCTCCGGTTTTTCGCTTGGGAAAGCCTGAAGGGATCCGTCAGGTTTAAAGTAGCTTTGGAGGCATTGAAATCAGTTGCAGAAAGTTATGGAAGCAACAATGTTTGTATTGCTGGTCATTCCTTAGGTGCTGGGTTTGCTCTGCAGGTGGGAAAAGCCTTAGCCAAAGAAGGAATCTATGTCGAAACCCACTTGTTCAATCCTCCTTCTGTTTCAGTAGCCATGAGCTTGAGGAACATAGGGGAAAAAGCAGAATTTGCTTGGAAGAGACTCAAATCAATGCTTCCTTCAGGCAGCGAGACAACAGAAGCCAGCAATATTGAAGGTGAAAAACCACCTGGGGCAGCTGGTTTAAAGAGTTGGGTATCAAATCTAAACAGGAAGAATCCTGGGGTAGGAATTGGGAAGTGGGTACCTCATTTATATGTAAATAATAGCGACTATATCTGCTGTTCATATACTGAATCTGATCAAGTAGAGAAGAAAAGCAGTGAAGGGAAAGAAAATGTTTGTCCCACAAATGGGCAAGCAGCACCTGCAGCAAAGTTGTTTGTAATGTCAAAGGGAAAGCAGAAGTTTCTTGAGGCTCATGGATTGGAACAATGGTGGTCTGATGATTTGCAGCTTCAGATGGCTCTACATGACAGCAAGCTTATAAGTAGGCAGCTCAAGTCCTTATACACCCTTTCACCAGCACAACCACCAACACAGGGAAATCCCAAAAGGTGAAGTTTGGTGGTTGGCTGGATTTTTTTTGCTAAATAACTCATTTTCGGTCTCGGGATATGGCGGTATAGGTCTTCTGATGTCATGTCTCATGTCTGTTGCTTCATTCAGATTGTGTTTAACATAAATATATGAGCTCTTCTCTTAGTCTTTTCAATCCTTTTCTACCCTGTTTGGTTGAGCAAAATCACCTATATAGCTTATTAATTTGACAGTAAGAACAAAGTAAATACAGATGCATCATAATCAATAACTTCTAAATCCTTCTCAAGAAGAGTTCTCTTTTCGTAAATTTTATATCAACGAAACTACCAATATTTAATGAAAAATGCAAAGGTGTTTCAAATGAACGAGTCATAGAAATGAGCAGTAGTCTTACCTCCATCCCCTTGTTTTTTTTTTCCTGTTCTCTTCCAAACATATACTAAAGTGCCAATTTCTTAATGTATGGAACCAAAAATGATTAGGAAATGATAGTAAAGAGACGAATAAAAAATTTCACAATTACGTTTCGAAACCCAAAGTAGAAAAGAGGAGGTAACTCAAATTTTACTGCTCGAGAAAGGGCACAAGGGAGATCCCCTGCTTGGGATGTATTAAAGGGATCCCATGTCTCAAATGGCAAAAATATCATAAAAGATGAAAAACGAAAGAGATTTATCATGGCGAGCTTGAGTTCGATATCTGCACAATCCACCAGTAAAAATGGGGAAATATCAAGAATATAACAAGAACAGGGAATATTTCTTCAGCAACCTCAAGTTTGTATATTTCTGCTTTTTATCATATTTCCCAAATTTTACAGATCATATTGACTAAAGCAGCAGCTACACTAGTCTAGGAACATGAAGGTATGAGTGACTTTCATCAGAAAATTCTCAACTATATCTCCAAATGAAATAGTTTTTTCCACTCCATTATCATGACCGGTTAGCTTAACTTAACAAACCCCTTTCTCTTCAAGATCTATCCTCCAGGCTCCAACAAATATAAGAAGATGAAACCAGCTTACCCACAAAAGAACACATATGTAGAGTCTTTGCTGGAGATGGAAATGGGCATGCTATGTAGAAGTTGGGCATGGAAACGATAATCAGGGCACAGGTATGATGAGCTGATCAATAGTCATGAATGGAACTGGTTTGGAGTTGCAAGCTACGAGGCCTCGAGAATCAATCGCAAGCTGTACAGAACATGGACTGGTTCCTGCAGAGACAGGCAAAGGAAAAACAATTAGCCATCAAAATCCAGAAGGAATAAAGCTAAAACAAATATTTTAAGGAAAAAAAAGGCAGAATCAGATGGAACAAAAAGAAAAGGGAATTATGTATTAGGTGCAGGGCTGAAAAGTTGGGAAGTTGATGCTTGTGCAATGACAGAAACTAAACAAAGACGGTGCCCGACCTACATGAAATGGTAGGTTTTTATGAAAATGTAAAATTTAAGGCCTAGGCCACCTAAACTTTCAAGCTCCCTACAGCACCAATATTCTATCCACGAGATAAAACTTACAAAAACGTAAAAACTTTGAATAAGTACAAGTTAAACTTGAAATTCATTTTTACTAGGATGAAAAGCCATGATATGCAGAAGATTAATGTGCAGTAAAATAGTTCTAAAGAAGAGCTTCCAAGGCATGTGACACACATGCATGGAGTTCAAAAGATCCAGCACAATGATCTTCAAGCTTCAAGGAATTATATGCTCTTGGCCCCCAATCACTTGAGTACCAAAGTAATCTCTGTCAATGATTCCCACTGCCATCAAACATGGACACGACTTCGAATCATATATCAAATTTTCTATACTCGTGAATGCATGCCTAAGGCACAGCAATGCAGCATTATATAGCTTTAATATCTCTTCTGTTGACCACTAAAATTGATCTTCCTGAATGCTTCATAAAATTTTCTTGGACAAATTTTGGCAGCCAATTCAAAACGCTGAGCAGTTTCAGTCGATGGACGAAAATTAACAAATAAAGTTTGAACACGATTCTGCAGACAAAAGTGGGGGAAGGGGAAAAGTTTTAATGAATAATTGGAAGAATTTACACGCTTATAATTGTGATTTCTCTCTCCTAACCTACCTTCACTCTATACGAAAAATAACGATTGTTTTTTTCCCCTATTTCCAAAGGCAATAATACTATAACAAAAATATATACCTCAAGGATTGTCTTAACTGAAACAAAATCAGTCAGCTATATTCATACTGATTGCAAAAAAATCCTGCTTTCAAGTAACGAACAAGAACCAATCGATGATATGCATATACGAATGTGTCAGTGTTCAACTTACAGTTGGTTGATTGTTGACCCACTTGTCCAGGTTCAGTAAGACTTAATTCGATGTCATGACTAGCTGTCCAACCGGGCTCGTAAGCTTCAAGAAAACCAATTTTTGCCTTATTAGGTAGATCGTGAGGATGAACGAACGGCACTCCAGGAGGCCATCCAATCTCGATTCTTGTACTAGCACATGGGCTATCTAACGTGTGAATGTGACTCTCACATTCCTTCAGGTTGCAGAACCTCAATTTGATACCCTTCTTATCCGCAATGTCCTGTACTCTCTCCTTCAGAACCCTTTGTGCCTCAAGCCGTAATCTCTTAGAAGGGGGTAGAGGTTTAGTAGTTGAATTGTTCTTTCTCCTCCTCATTTTTATGGATCCTGTACCAGCATTTCATCGATCCAATAGCCTGTTAATTAAAAGCTTCTCGCTAAGGGGGCTACTTGCACTAAGAAATTACTGTAGAAGCAACACTACCAAACAAGAGAATAAACGCAAAATTAACAATTAAAAATTCTTGCGTGCAAGCATTCAAACTATCAAGCATAATAAACATTAAAAGAATGCAAATATTCACCTTTGATACTAACAATTAGGTAAATAAATTGCTTCCAGTCCATAGTTAAACAACAAATATACATTAAACATGAATCATCTTAAAAGATGGCTCATTGTCACATCTAAACAAATCATTAAGGATAAGGGAAGGATAAATTTCAATTCTCAAAAACTAATTAAATAAGTATGGTGCGTACTGTGGAAAATAAACACAACTAGTCTATCATCAACCGATTCAGTCCTATCCAAAAAAAAATAAAGAATCATCAATCAGTCGAGAAACTAAGTTTTATGCATGAAAATAAATATATATATTTCATACATAATCCCTCAATAGGTGATATTTATCAGCCATGAAATTATTTTTAAAAGGAATAAGAAGAGAAAATTTGGCCTACCATCTTGGGACGTAGAGAAACTGAAATTCTGAAAATTCGGACGGTTAAAGAGTTGATCGGTCGAGGGTGACCTCTGCATGAAGTCATCCACTGGTACTGGAAGCTGGAACTGAACATCAACCCCATGGCCAGCTGCCCTCATTTCAGAACAACTGAGGCTAGTCATTGACTTAGGCATAAGTTTGAATGACGAAGAACACCGTCCGTACATACTACCTTGAATATTATTTACGTCTGTTCTGAGCAAAGCAGGATTCACATACCCTGCCGTTGCTTGATAAAGTGCAAGTCCAGGGTACACTATGGCATCTTGAGGACCAAGATCTCCATCCACAAGAATCCATCTACCATTGAAATCTTTTATTAGTAAACCTGCCTTATCCGACTTGACCAGAGTAATAAGGCTCTTATCAATTTGATGCTCGTGGTCAGCGGGATACATAGACAACTGGCTATCCTCTTGAGCAGTTAATTTATGGTGATGCTCTCCATGAAATGAGGGCCTCCCATGACAGCACACAGACAATACAGAAGATGATATCTCCCTACTTCTTAGGGGAACATTATCGAGTATCTCGGTGAAAGGAGAGCTGCGCAAGTTTAGATAGAAGCTGATTGCATCCAAAATAATTCGAGATGCCTTTCCATAGAGTGCAAATATGTCTGGCAAACCAGCTGGTGGTAACTCTATTGAATTGCTGGGCTCAACTGGAGTAAGTCCAGGCCTATAATCATACATTTCTTGCCACATCTGAGAATCTACATAGTAACCAGAAGTTCTGCACCACTCCCGTGAATCATTGTTTTGCATCAATTCAGCAGATGGACAAGCAGCTCTTTGGTGGAAGTAGAGGCGAGCAGAATCCAAACCAGACCTTAAAAGAGCCCCATCACATGCAGGGAATTGAATTATGGCAGCAGAATATTGAGCTAGTGACTGTGAGAGTGTTGAGACCGACAGTTTGAATGACTCAGAAGGAACGCCTTCAGATGGTGCTATATCAGTAAGCTTCACACGACCCAATGATGGCAGGCCATTGCCTGCCATGAAATGGAATGGTTTCAATGGCCGAACAACTCAATTCAAGCAACTCTGCACTGCTCACTCCATATAAAGAACAAGTGAAAAAGCGTCATCAGAAACAGAAAAACAATGAATGAGAGTGGGATTTAATGTCTCTCTTAAACCTTGGAAGTCGAAAGTCAACTAATAATAACATCAAAAGAATCATCAATATTTTCCGCTCACACGGTTTCACACATTCCCAGCTCAAAAGATTTAAAGAATCATCAATATTCCAGAGTTCCACACATTCCCAGCTCAAAAGATTTAAAGAACCATCAATATTTTCAGCTCACATAGTTTCACACATTCCCAGCTCAAAAGATTTAAAGAATCATGAATATTTTCAGCTCACACAGTTTCACACATTCCCAGCTCAAAAGATTCGTACCCAGGCTTTCACGTACCATCCACAATTGCAGAATTAACATAGCCCAGAATACAATACACACAGGCAGAAGATAACCGGTTGCAAAATGTAAAACTGAACCAGAACCCGTCTATTAGTGCAACATCTGAAGGTTGGGTTCGAATCAAAATCAAAGCCCTAAATCCATGGCCAAATATACCCCAAGAAAATGCGTAAGTTGCAAACGAACCTGAATAAGGCGAGTGTCCCCTACTCGCCGGAGCATGGCGTAAGGTTGCGAAAGCGTCGGAGCAGTGGCCGTTTGCCTTGGCTTGTGTTCTTAACTGCGACTGCTGGAGCGTAGATCAAAATCGACGTGAAAAAGTTGAAAAAATGACAGATTGGAGAGGGAAGAGAAGGAGATTTGTGACAAAAAGAGGATCCAAATTCGAGTTCGCGGAGAATAGCGACCTCAGAGAGTCAATTTGACCAAGAAGTTTGCGCCGTTTTCTGCCCCTTCCATTTGGTGCGTTAGCGAAGCGTTACTGTCCGAAATGGCGTTTTCTGTAAATCACGGGGGAAATCCGCATTGTGTATTTTTTCTTTTTTCCCCTTTTTTCAAGAAAACCTCGATTCCTATTATCAGAAAATTATCCTTTTTTTATGCCTTTATCAGGAAATTATCCGCTCATGATTGATATATTTTACATTTTTAATGAATTAGTAGCTTATGTCGTACACGTTAGGGGGGGAAAAGTAGAAATTAATACTCTTTTTTTTACAGAAATTAATCCCTTTAGCTGAATTTCAAGATTTTTAAAATTTGTAAGAAGCTCTTTTTTCGAATCAAAATTTGTAAGTATCCATAGATTAATTGATGAGTAGTATTTCCTCCAATTTTTCCAAATGCATTTTTAGTAGAATTTAATGCCTCTGTAAAACATGTTTTTAAATTATATGAGAATATTTCAAAGAAATTTAGATAATAGACATTTTCAACCAAAAAGTCAAAAATTCAAATTTCTACCCTACATATAAACTATAAAAAAGTAATTCTTATCCACTTTTACATAAGTTTTAGATCACTTTTAATAATCCAAAATTATACAAAAATACTCTTAATTGATATAAAAGCAGTTTTACTGCTAACTAAAAATTTAACAAAACGCTACCAATTTTCACTCCATTGATATTTCCATCCACATTTTTTTAAATTTGAGAGCTTGAGATTTGAATCTACTTCCACATTTTTGTGACGTTCAAAGCTAATACTAAAATTTAAGCACAACAGATCTCCCCCAGTAACATGCATGGAGACATACTTGAAAAAAGAAAAAAAAAAAATTTAACAAAGACAATGAAAAAAAAAAATTACAGCAAACCTAAAATTTCCAAATCCAAAAACATAATTTGATTGATAAAAGTGTATTTACTAGAGATAGAACAGAGTATATCCTAATGATAATTCAACAGTAACAGAAAACTACTAACAGACCTAACTAAATGGCATTTAACCAAAATATTGTTGCTACAAGAAGGCTCTTTCTTCACAGCGTAAAAAAAACCGTCGCATCTTTTCGAATCACATACACAGATAGTAACATTAGGGAAATGAGAGAGCGAGCGAGCGAGCGAAAGATGTGTATTATGTAGGAGGATTATTATGGCTTGCGGGGTGGGGAACTACTGCTACTGCTCCTGCTGCTGCTTCTCCCTCTCAATGGCCTACACAGCAAAATAATCCCGTCAAAAAAAGGTAAAATAAACAAAGATCTTTTTTACGAGAGACCGAATTTTTCAGTGATAAAAATGAAAAAAATAACACATGTATGAGAACATACAAAAAGATCAACCCTACAACAGAAGGCGCTCCAAAGGGGGGGGATCTAATTCAAATGGATAACTCCTAACTAATAATCACAAAATAACTTTGGAACCGACCCCACTATGACGTATTAAGTCTAATGAGCTGTGGAACATGCTCCCTAGCTCTCTTCTCCGCCCTTAGAGATTCTATTACTTCTCTTAATTAAAATCTCGCACAGAATAGTAAAGAAGAAAGAAGAAAGTCGGCCACAAAAATCTTCCCTTCTCTTGAAAAGAAGGAAACAAAAGCACCCTCTTACAACATCAATCCTATTGCAAAAAATGTGATCTAGATCATCCAAAGCAAACACCATTGCAACCCCAAAGCACCTTTGAATACCATTCAAGGTGTCGACTTTCCGCAGTTTACGATCATGAATACGAACAAAGATCAAAACAAGTGCCCTAGTTGATTTGTTTATCTAGAGCTCGGTATAGAATATATCAAAATATAATGGCTTTTCGCAGTTTATGGGTTTGAGAAAATATTCTCACACAGGCCCATCCATGCACTAGGCTAATTCCTAACATTCAGACAAAAACATTGACACGTCGACTGATATTTAATCCAATGAACGGGATGGGATTACCTTCTTGGACTACGAGATACCCTCCTGGCTACCTGTAATAATATAAAATAAAAAATTGTTAAGCCACATAAGATGGCAGGGCAACCAAGCAATATACATAGAAATGGAAGAAACAACTCCAACAAACCTTGCGTGGACTGGGTGATGCAGAGTAGGATGATGATCTCCCACGTCTAGCAGCAGCTGCTGGCCGACCTCTATCGAAAAAATTGCCATATGAAAATTATAAGATAAATAAATGGAATATAGAAGGCATAAACACCGACTAAGTAGCAAGTGTGAAGTGTATAGTGTTATATGGTTTAGGGAATAAGCAATCATAGAATGGGTAAAGTGCGGATCATATGATAAGTGGGTATGCCATCTAAACTACAGATACATTTTTTAAGCACCCCTTTTAGATAAAGCTAATTTCTACAACAGATTTCCCATTACTAATATGTAATCACGTATATGCATTTCTTTTGAATTTGGAGATATTTCAGTCATGAGATCATAATATCCTACACAATTTTCAAGTCCTTAAAAGGAAACCGAGCTCACTTAGAGCTCATTTTATTTGCATTATTTACAACATGTCAAATGGTAAAATCCAGCACTTGCTACCAATCTAGCTTGAATAAGAAGGAACGGGAGAATCTTTTAAGAAATTAACATAATTTTAGCACACTCGTTCCATAGTTTTCATTTGGAACCGTTCAGGAAAGGTTCTTTGTAATCAATCTCTTTTTTGATCAATGCCAATTGGAGGGACTTTAGCAACCTCCTTTGTCATTTGATTTATGCTCCACACACATTCAGAGTGAGAACAATCAAGAATATGAAATAAATGTTCTTTTGAAGGTAATTGTTCAAGACAGACAAAAAAAAAAAAATCATTAGGCATCCACTGATACCTTCGTGGTGAAAATGATCGGGAACGTGAACGAGCAGGTCTTCTAATTGGTGAACGGCTCCGTCTACGAACTACTGGAGACCTTCTCGGAGGACTACGAACTCGTCTTGGAGGTGTACTGAGAAAGAAACAAAATTTAATAACAAGAGATTGTAACAATCATTTACCAAAGTATAAGTATAGCTGAAACCATTTTTCAGGCTACAACATATTCAAGTACAAACCATGTCCAACCATAGCGAACAAGAAATTTAAAGCTCTCACTGCCATGCTTAAATGTGTTTATTACTCAAACATGAGCAAGTAATCATGCACTCAGTCACCATTCTACTATGACTTAAGATTCAACTATAGAAACACCTTTGTACTCTACAAGCAAAATAACCATCGTCTACACAAATCATCATACTTCATTCTGTATCTGCACAAGCATAGCTTTGAATTTGCTTCACCAAAAAAGCCAAAGTTACCTGTGACTAGGCATAAGAGAACGACCTATGGCCAACAAGAACAACACAACAAAACCAAACCTGATGGTACTTTTAGTCTTCTTCTAAATACCTGGCATAACCTTATATCTTCTAAAAATTAAAAAAAAAATACACTCTTAAACTAATCATTCATGATTCATCGCCTAGGGTTCGATATGATAATACTTATTAAAGGAGTTTATTTTTTCAAATTCAAAAAATGAAGTTTACATACGTTCTCTCTGCATTATTCACTACTCTCCAGACAGATATTCAATCGTGTAGGTGCGGATACATCAAGATTCTACTTATATGTGCAGCATCAAGACATTAATAATCAACATTGTCACTATAGTATATATTAGAGAAGTTGAGAGAGAAACCATAAACATCTACGTGAATTATTCAAAATGCAAGAGTAAAGCATAAGATCTTTTGAAACGGTTAAGATGCATAATACCGGCGCCTAGGAGGAGGTGGGGAACGTCTTCGAACGGGACTGCCACGAATTCTTCTTGGAGAAGGCCTAATCAACCAAAGTTCAGCAATATTGATGCTACTCAAACCACCATGTAAAGAAAAAAAAGGTATTTTGTGTGTGTGGGTTGTGTTGGGGGCAGGGGATGATTGGCCAACCTTGGAGGAGATCTATGTCGCCTTGGCAAAGGGGATGGAGAACGGCCTCTAATCGGCGATGCAGGCCTCCTTCTAGGTGGAGAATCACGACGGAAAGGAGATTCGACACGGCGGCGTGGAGGAGACTCTGGACGGCGGCGTGGAGAATCGGGTTGTCTTCTAGGGGGAGACCCACCACGTCGAGCTACAGGTGAGCGCCTTCTAGGTGAAGGAGGTTTTCGACGAGGTGAAGCTGATGTATCAAATCAGAAATAAATTACTAATATAATATACTCCCATAAAAAAAATAGTATAATAAGCAAAAGCATTTGGACTTATTAAGAGTTATACGTTCTCTCTGTCTTTTCATGTCATCCTTCTCAGCATTAGCACCAACATTTTCAGGCTTGGGACCATCTCTCTTTGGAGCAATCGCCACAGTCCTTGGAGGAGTCGGCATCTTCTGTCTTTGAGGTAATGTAAATCTCACTCTAATAACATTTCCATCAATTTGAGCCTACATTAGCCAATCAGCACAATCAACTCCCATGGATACGACATTATCAATAGATGCATTTCAAATTCTCGTGTGGAATTTATTAGAAAAACCTACACCATCCATATACACTTGGGCTTTTTCAGCATCAGGTCTCGTTTTGAATTCAACATATCCATAACCTTTAGGAAGATTGACCTATAAGCATTTTAAACAGATGCATTAATGTATTGTTGAAGAAAAAGATCTTTAAATATAACGCACATGGTGCAAACTCACTGTACGATCCATTGCCAGCTCAACATTGACTACTTCGCCAAAGTTACCTAGAGGGCATAAAATTGAAATTCATAAGAGCTGGAAAAAAACAAATGTAACAGATTACCTACTCACTTCTCTAATCATCAGGATTAACCATAAAGAGATTTTTGGAGGAAAATTCACCTTCGAGGATGACCCATCTGATTAAATGTGACTAATAAATTAACTAATTATATGCTATAAAATTTATGAAAATAACCAATCTAAAATTTAAAAATAGTTGAGAGAAAAGGAAGGAATGTGCAAGCAGTGACTTAACCAAACAGAGGTGATGAAGAGCAATCAATATAGCAAATAAATCATTTTTAAGGACAAAACAACATAGTAAAGTATATTTCTTTTGGATAGGAAACAATTTCATTGATGATATGAAATTTACAAAATAATTAATACCTATCCAATGAAACAACATAGTCAAGTATCATTACTAACAAACAGGTATACCAAGTCTTTCTTGTAAGACAAAAATACTAAGTGCATGAAGTCAAAGAGTTATATCTTTCAAAGGATGTGTTGAAGGCTTGAAGCTTGAAATCTAACTTGCACTTTTTTTTGGGTTAAGCTCATCAATGTGTGGGATCGGGGATTCGATCCTTTGACCTTTTAGCCAAGATTATAATGCCCTAACCAGTTGAGCTATGCTCAAGTTGGCAAATAAAACTTGTACTTTTGTCTTACTTTTTGGTTTTAATTAATGTATTCTTCTTGTAACATAAATAAAATGATATGGAAACAAAAGTTCATTTATCCATCAGGATAATTGTTTAGAAACTAAGAGAGCGAGTGAAAAACCATACAGAATATTTCTCTTAAATGACCCTCATGGACATTCCTGCTAAGTGCATCAATGTGAAGAACAAGGGACTCGCGTACAGGAGAAGGTTTCCTGAAATCAATAAACACAGTTTGGAAAGAAAAGATATAAATATATGATATACGCACAATGGAAATATCACAAAAAAAGCAATTGATGTAAAATAATAAATAAAAGGCATATAACTTTAAAATAATCAATTAAGAGAAAGTTTGAAGTGAGTATAGATTACTGAAGATAAAATTTACAGTTGCAAGATAATAGATGCCAATAAAACATTATTTATCACATTTGACCTCAGCACGAGTCAAAATTATTAAAAGTTGAAAACAATGCACCACTCCCACCACAATTCTGAATAAGTACTGAATTAAAATAATTACAGTAACTTTTCTTTTTCTTTTTTTTTTGTTTCCATAGATAATTAATGAATTTAAATCAAAACATTTTTTAACAGCTTTAATAGCAATGGAGAACAAGCTTCCTTAAAATGAAATCACAAATAACATATTGAATGATTCAAGAAATTGTAAAATAGAATCAACTATTTCGACCATGTGTCCAAACAAAGCATCACACTTGCAGACAGAAATTTGATGGTTTGGTTATACTGGAATTTGCCCCCTAACCATACATATCTAACAACTAAGTGAACAAACACAGAAAAACAATCATTCAAGAGGTTCAGAATTTCTTAGCAGAATGCGGATATCAAAAACTCAACCTAGGGGAAAAAAAAAATCATTTCTGATAAAATGCGTGCCATAAACAAATCAGGAAGATGTTAGTTAATGAGATGACCAAAAAAAATAGGTTAGACTTGACAGTAGTTAAACATGATATTACCTGGGTGGGGGAGAACTTCGTTTAGCTGGTGGAGGTGAAGCACGAGTCCGCCGAGCTGTTTCAGTAGGACTGGAAAACAAAATCGACAACAGACAAATGAAGATGCGATTTCGATGCATAATGACCACATAAAAACAATCAAACATATGAGTGTCTGCTTCTCGATAAAGTTATGGTTCCAAAACATGGTTTCGAAGAAATACAGGAAAATCCAATTGACGGCGAATGAAAGCTCATGCATAATCCACTGGCCTCCCAAGCATACAATGTCTAACTCCGAGAACCAAATGTAAGACTCAAGAAGGAGAATCGCAAGCTGAAATGAAGACGAACCTCTTTCTCTGAGGAGGCGGGCTCCGGCTCCGAGAACTGCCACTGCGAGAGAGAGAAGAAGACGATGAATTTGACCTGGAACGAGAGCGAGAGCGTGAGACAGATACAGACCGAGACCTGGAGCGCGAGCGCGAACTGGAGCGGGAATCGGAGCCGGAAAATGAGCGGGAACGTGAGGACGACCCCGATGCGGATCCTGACGGCGGCGAGCGACGGCCTCTGCTCGGTTTCGCCATGGCCGGCTACAGCTGCAGAGTGAGAATCGAAACCCTAGCTAAAACCCGTCTCGTTTTGGGATAGGGAGAGGCGACACAGAAAAATGGTCGAGACGTTCGCCAAAATTAGTGATCTCTGAGAGAGAGACACACGACGATGTGGGGCCCACCCGAAGCCGTGATGGGTCCAAACCCAACCCTTTTTTTTCTTTTACTATTTTTATATTAAAATACTATTTTAGTTCTCTACCAAAAAAAAAAACTTTTATAATCTTCCACTTTAGTTCGCTTAGTGTTGTGTATCCACCCTCGTTTTGATCTCTGTATTTAAAAAAAAAAAAGTAAAAATTCAACGTATATTTTGTACTTATCGGACATTCTTAGATATAAAATAATGGTTATATTCACAATAAATATATTAAGTATAGTATCGTGTTGAAATTGTGATAGGAAAATAAAATTAAGGGGCCAAAATAGTGATTTTTATAAATATAAAAAAACTAAAACGAACATTTTGAAAATACATAGATTAAAATGAACCAAGTTGAAAGTATATGGACTAAAATTAACATCTTAAAATCACACATACTAAAATAGTTAAAAGTAAGATCACCAAAATAGTATTTTAACTTAGTTTTTAAGAGGCGAATTTTTTAGTTTATATTTTATTTTTGTGAACCTCTAGTTTCTTTTTTTCTGTCTCATTTTTAGGCGGTATTTTTTAATCTTTAAACTTAAAAATAAGAAAATAAAAAAATAAATCTATAGATTCGCAAAATATGTAGGTTGAGCAGTGAATCAAATAAATATCGTATACGACTTTATTTTTTTATATTAAATATCAAGTTTAATGTTTTTAAACTCACTCTTTAAAAATAATAATAAAAAAACAAGGGAGAAATGTTTATTAAACGAGAACTTTTAGTAAATTAAAATTTAAACCATGGTTTAACTAAAAATAAAATAAAAAGTTATTCAACCAAATCGTTTTATTTGTTTTTCGTCTTACAAACAGTAATCACTAGGTTTCACCAACAACATTACATATCATGGAACAATTATGATTATTGACATTATAAAAATTTGTATTATAAGTGTAACTAAAAGAAAAGAATATTGCCAAACTGGTTCTGATCAAAAAACTTCTCAAACTTGGAATCTTGTAAAATAGACCACAGATATTATAGCTCTTACCACTGAAGCAAATTTCAAGACAATACAAAGCTAAGAGGAAAACCAGAATCATGAACTCAGCAGAACAGAGGTTGCTTCCCACTTCAAGCTTAATGGGGAATACATAGACCTCAAAATACAGTTGCTTTCAGTTTGAGCACCAGTTAAATACTTTCTTTCTAGAGTTAATGTTTGAATTTACATCGAAACATGTCGAGACAGAGATGCGAAAAATCTAAACGTACAGCATAATTGTGCAGAAGAATGTGCATTTTTCAATCGACTAACTCAACGGGACGATTTTATTTCAGTTCTTCCATGGAAACAGAAGCATCCGAGCGTCTTCTCTTTGCTTCATGGTCGCCCAGTTGCAAGGAAACGCAAATGTCTTCGCAGTCGCTCCGAAGCGAAGAGAGGTTCTGGGAAACTGCGCGGTCCAGTGAACTGTTTTGATGCGAGGGAGAGCAACTGAAAAGGCTTGGAATGAACTGATGTTCGACACTGGGAGCCATGCTCGTCCCGGCTTCGAGATGAAACTCGGTCTCCAGGAGTGGCCGCTCCTCGGCTGAAGAAGGTTCCACTTCTGTAGGCATATGCTGGATTTGGAAGCCCAATGGCTCAAACTTCTCTTCACTTTTCTCCTTTGGCAATGTTGTATCGGGAGGAGAGGAGTCTCCGACAATGGACCCGATGACGGTTGCCGAGACAGTTCTCTGTTCTTGCACTGCTGCTGCATACAGCAATAAATAAACAGAACAAAATTAAATGAAAAAGTAAATTCTCATAGTTATTAAGGACAAGTACATTATTTATTGTCACACCCACACATATCCTCATTTTGCAGTGTTTTCAGTTTGTTTTTCAAAAAATGCAACACCCTTTCTATCCTATTATTTCTTCTCACTTCACAGAAACCCCTCAAAATGGCTGGCATTATTTATCCATGATTCGCGGTTGAGCTTCATCAAACGTATGGTGTGCGGAGTTAGTTTGAATGAGATTATGAGAGAAACTTTCGTTGAATTTGAGGGGAGGTTTAGTAATCTTTTGTTCGATGAGAGAATTGTTAAAGTGTGAGAGCAGCCAATAGACGACACAATGTCATCTTAAAGGAACAAAGAGTGTTTATTGAGATATGAAAGATTTATAAAACGGTATCATCTACCAACTAAATAAGGGAGGAAATGACACTACAGGGGTTTAAGTATAATACTAATATCATATTAAATCACCACTAAACCTAAAAGCTTAAGCTAATCAATTAATTAAATTAATTATTTATTCATGTTTTAACAATAGAAAAAGGAAAAACTCGAGAAAATAAAGCTCTTCATAGGGTACCTAAAAATATTTATGTGCTCCCTCAAAAGAGGGAAACATACAGGAGAAGCAAATTAGAACTACAAACTCTACAATTGATGAATGCAATTTGGAAGACAGAGAGATAATGGATAGGAAATTTCTTTTAAAGCTCTAACCTTTAAGCCCTTCATCACTTGTGATTAGATCAAGTTCGAGCAGATTGAGAAGGCGCCCGAGATCAACCCCACTTGTCCAATTCTCGGGAGGCTGGCCGACTTTTAACTTAAGGCGACCTCGGTTTGCAGTTCCACCCCATATGATCCCAATCGGTTGCAAACTCTCCCTATTCTCACCCTTTAAAATGATGAGGCTTCCGCTATCTCCTTCGAGATCGAAAGTCTGTTGATTCTCGCCAACCACGAGAAAATCAGTCAAGAAGCATATTCCTTTCTCATCATTGTACTCAAGAGCATACGCCAAAACAGTTCCTGTGGTCAAGCCAGAACTTCTCCCAACTTTCACCACCCGCTTCCCTATGAGGGTACTGATAGGCGACTGCAAGTCAATAAACTTCACGTCGCCAACCTCTCCCACCCCTTTTACAGATGTAGTGACGGTCGACATCTCAAAATCATCGGCAAAAGGAATAAATGCCCCATCAGCCCTGACGAACGTCTCTGCAATAAAACAGAATTAGAATAAATGCACAAGCATGAACCCAATTCAGCACAAAGGTAGGCCACAAAAGCAAGTTAACTTAGATATTAGATCACCTAATATAAAATAAATGAAATCGGAATATAAATACTCGGGATTTTGAGCTCAGTTCATTGTCACATCACATGAGCTTGTAATTTGTCTGATGGGCTCAATTATCTAAGCAAAGTATTAACAGGCGGAGTAAATTGTGCAAAAGAACATTGTCACTAGATAATGAAATACTTTTCTTTTGGAAGAAATTTGAAAGTCATCACCTGGGTTTATTCCAGCAAAAATTCCATACCAAAGCTCATCAGTGATGAATGAAGTAGCTCTCTCCACAGCACCAAGATACACCCCTGGCCCGAGCGTTGGTGGAAGAGGATGAAACATCTTCTGATTTGGATAATCTAAATCAACTGCGACATGACGGTTTGTGAGAAAACCAACTTGTCGACTGCCTGTTTGACTCCTTACGATAGCACCCAAGGTTCCATAAGTCTCCTGGCTGGCAACCTGATGAGGTGGATTAGGTTTGATTTTTTCCTAAAAAATCGATTCTACCAAAAAGGAAGTGAATATGAGCAATGCACAAGTCTCTATCGTGACCAACTTTTCAACTTATGAAATCGCCATTGGTACCAGACCGTTTAGGAACTCCTCAGTACAGGGATTGCTAAGATCAGTGACCATGTTATCAGTAAGAGGTTCAATACTCTCAAAAGTTGCAATCGGTTCAAACACAGTTGTTAGGCATGTTAAGAGGCACACATTAGGTTTAGGATATATGCCTCGAGTTCGAGTATATAAAAGGACTTCTTCCTATAAAAGGACTTCTTCACATCAGGTTAATCCTAGGGTTTAGGATTAATGGGCTGATTTCTACTCAGCAAGCCACACCACTAAATGGGAAATCATGGGCCAAGATTACTTGTATGCCCATTAAATAGCTCAAATATATTTGCTCTTTAATTTGTTACCCACATATGAATTAATTATTAAATTAATTCCAACACTTGTTTCTTAAACCCGGTAACAGATCAAGTATGGCACCTTGAAAATCAAAGTTGCTTTCTAGAGAGGGGGGTAGGATTCATGTCAAAACCAAGATGATTTGGAGGAACCCGGCATTTCAACACATATCTGTACCTAAATTGTATATTGCATTAAGTGCACATAACCGCTCGTTCTCTCAAATCTTCCTCTTGTTTTCTTAAGCTGTTTAGATGTTTTTTTTATCCTCTCCATGGTAGTTAGGCACTTTTCGTTCCATATACTGGAAGAGATAGTTCTTGGGAGGAGATGTGGAGTGTGGCACTTTTTCTCAATACTTCTCTTTTGGCTGTCAATTCTAATTTATTTTGTTACCAAAAGTTGAGGGTCATTTTTTCGTAACAGTCTTATCAGGCATTCCTCTTGCTTCGGCCACACCTGGTTTTTTTTTCATTTTTTTCGCTCTCTCCTTATATTTCGTTCCTTCATGAGAGTTGGATTTCTATTTAAAAATAAAATAAAAACATAAATATACCTGGGAACCAGAGCCAATGCACAGATCACTGCCACGTAGATCATCGACAATTTCCGTATACAACTGTTCTTTAGGAGCAGGGTTGGGTGCACCAAAATATGAGAATTCTACAACATCCACATCACACCACACACCACCTGGACCCTGAAGAAAAGAAAAATAATCTAGCCTAATTAAAGAATAAAGATCAAACTGAAATTTAAAATACTACTACTTTACAACCACAAGGTAGAAAAGGGATCTGAATGTGAAGTAAAAGGACTTCATCGGACCTCCAGGGCAGTGGGCAGGCATTGGATAGGACTAAGCCATTGCTTGTGCACTTTCCTGGAAACAAAAACAAGAATGGCAGGAATGTCAGTCAGCACGCCCTTTCGTATACGGAACCCAATGGCCGTGCCAAGACTGTAACAACGCAGGATCTTGCTATGGAAGGCTCTTATTGTCATGAGCTCAAGTAACGTGGTTGCTCGCTGCCCTTTTGGTAACGGATGAAGGATATCTGGTAGTACCCCTTTCTGAAGGTTGGCAAAATAGTTCGCCCTCTCCTCAGCAGCGACGCTTAACCGAATGGGGGTGGGCCATGAAAAGTATGCAGCATTGCTCTCGCAATGCTGCCCAGCGGATGCAAACGGCTGAAGCGTAGGTGGGCTGAATGAAGGTAAATTAGAGTGACTGCAGCAATTTCTTTCAAGATCAAGAGCTGATTCCTCGGATGGAGTAGAACCCGAGCAGTTGATCCTGCCATTGTGTCTAGTCTGCTCCATTTTATGGTTAACCTAATGATACAAAAAGCCAAAGGAAAAAAAAGGAACCAAATTCTGAAATGAATCAACCAGTCGATGGAAATGGAATGAGCAAGGAAAAAAGGCGGCAAAATTAAGCGGGTAAAACTAATCAATGAAAATGGATGTCATGCCACAAGAGGGGCACTCAAATCTGCTCATATATGGATCAAAAGATAGACAAAACAATCAGTTCTAAGTTCGATACATGTCAAATCTACCTTGTCTAATAGAGTAGACAGGTACGTACGATTAGACTACTACTAGAACAAAAGCTTATGCCCGTAGTTTATAGTATATTAAGTCATTTTATATAATTTTCCTTACTCTGCAAGTAGGAACTCAGATATGAATTGGAATCATGATTCATGAAGTCCAATATGTGAACTATTAATATCAATCGAGAAGAAAATGACACTACTAGGATTCAAACTCAAGACTTTCGATACCCAAAAACTTAAGTTGCTTGAGCTAATAGACTAAGGTATATTCGATCATTTATATGCATTCAAACCAAACTATGGATAAGCAGGAACAAAACATTGACTTGGGGGAAACTAAGCCATGATGTTCAGTTTCAACATTCAGAGATGAAAACAAAAAAATGATAATAATAACAAGCTGTAGTGATTAGTAGTAGCAGAAGACTAATTACCAACGATTAATATATCACAGAAAACAACAACATAACTGAGAAATTAAAACAGAAGCATAACAGCCAGTGATTAAGCCATAGAGAACATAAAAAGACAAGAGGAACAACTAACCAGTGAACTCTATGATTAGGCCCAAACAGAACAGAAAACATGAGAGACCAACAAGGGAAAAAACAAAAAACAGAACACAGAACACAGAACACAACAGAATCAGATATCACAAACCCAATAATCAGAGCATCAGAAACGATCAAACCCAGAAACCAACAAAAAGGAAAATCAACCAAAAGGGTGAAGACGATCGAGGAGGAAGAAGAAGAGTGGAACTCACAGTAAGTAATGGGGAACTCAGTGGAGATGATTCAGAGAGCTCAAATTAGAGTGGAATCGTTTGGAGGGAAAGAAAAATGGCTAACCCATGGAAGAATTCGGCAAAATTGAAGTCTGGGTTTTGGTCAGAGAGTGGAGAATACAGAGAAGAGAAGAGTGAAGCTCAGGTGGGTGCAGAGGAAAGACGAAGAAAAAGGTGTGGAAGTAATAATAAAGATGGAAAAGTCGAAGGTTTGAAGAGAAGAGAAAACAATACATGAAAAAAGGTAAAGTTAAGGGAGGGAGTGAGTGGGGGCATTTTTAAATTCGCTAAGCAAACAAAGATTAAGCTATGGTGGGGAGACGTGGCCTCGGTGGTCGCCTTCTTAGTTCTTGCTAGTTGCTTCCACAAAATTATATATTTTTTGTGTTCAAATGACAATGGGCTCTTTGGTTTGATTTCAGCTTTTGAGAGTAGTCAGTCCGAACATAGTTTGGTGCTGATTTGGTAATCTTGAGTATAACAAATATGGAGTCGGATAAGATGGCTTTAACTACTGAACTATGTTCATGTTGGTAGTTTGATAATATTAATATTCTTATTTCTGGTAGGTGGTACTATTAGGGCGGAGGGAGGGTTTATTCGGCCCAACGAAATACTTTTTGTGGTAGATATTTCTATTACCAATATGAATCTATTGCGTATTTTATCTTTTATTTTGGATGACCTATTAACTATGTAATAATGACTGGACTTGGAACTATATGAATGTGAGGTGTATAAGTATCGATCACATAGTTGGGGTTTGAATCAAGGTTGCTGCATATTCGACTAGATCACCCAATTATAGTCATTTATGGATCGACTGTGTATAGATCACTGGTTAAGGTTGATTTAGATGGGCTTGACTTATCCAACTTAATAGATGCTTTAATTTGAACCATCTACTAAATCAAATTTTATTTCTAACTTTTTAGAAAGTGTCTTGATAGCTATTCATATTTAGCCAAAAGCCTGCAAAATTTTAACACGATAGGGTTCTTATTTTCAGTGAGTGTTTCTAAAATTGTGTAAGAAATTATGGAAATAAGAAAATCTTTGGCATGGATATATTTTTTCAAACATATGTAAAATTATTACATTATTTATTCCTTGTTTTTAAGTGCATAATAATTATAAAATAAATAAATACAACATAAAATTTTGAAAGTGAAACTTGCTTTTTTAATTTAATATAAAATTTGTATTATTTTTTTTAATCTAAAACCTTAGAAAACGAAAAAAAAAATTGTTAGCATGTTTCTATATATTTGTTTTTAATAATATAATGAATAACAAAATGTAATAAACAATTACCGATAGAAGATGATTGTAGAATGAAAAACAATAATCATAACATTTTTTAGTATGATATATGGAGATGGGGATCCCTCGTGTTGTCAATAGACATAACATTACTAAAGGATCTTATTAACTTCTAATATTTCAGGTTTGATCCCTGTCAAGCATTTTTATACTAAAATTATATATAAAAAGCTCCTTCTCCGGTTGCCAAGTATTTTTTCAAACTATATAATCGATGGTTGTATTTTTTTTATTAGGTTACAAGTTCTTGAATTTCTATAAGTAGTGTCAATTTTGTGTCTAAGTAGTTAAATTTGAAATCTTTTTATAAGTTTATAAAATTTGAATGGTATATATAATAGGTATGCAATTTAAAGTTTTAGATACGACTTTGAAACTTCTGTGATTAAATTTGGAACTTTAACTTTTTATCATAAAAAATTGGTTGTTTTTACTCCATCATTTAATTATTTTTTTTTTCTTTCAATAAATTCAGGTGTTAGGATTCAACATCAAACTTCAAAAAGATAGTATGTATTTTATTTATTGAACTATACCTAAATTATTAATATCGATTTAATTTTTAAACATCTGTAGGCAACAAATTAAAGTTCGTTACTATTTAAATTTTACCAAGAAAATATTGTTTAGGTATCTATGAAATCATCCGATTAAATTACGTAAAATTTTGGACTATAAAAACTAGGTGCATATTAAAATTTCATAGATTAAAGCGTTGTCTACAAACTTTAATTGCGTGTTTGAACTTGTTTATCTCATCTTTTCTAATCCAACTCATTTGTATGAACTTCCATTTTAGAGGGAAAAATAAGTCACATCTCAAAGAAAGAGAATATAATAAAAATTAAAAATGTTATCATTATTTTTGTATATGTTGGAGAACGTACATGAAAGAATTAAAATATATTTATTTGACCGATAAAGATAAGTTTTTATATACAAACTCTCTGAATAATAAATATATTGTTGTTTATAAATTAAGACTAAAGTTAAAACTTAAAAGAGTTAATGTAATGGGCACTCAATTAAAAGCAACCAACTTTTAAGATTATAAAAGTAAATGCAAATTTAAATAAAGAAATTAAATAAAATTCAAATATTGCTCAGATAATCATTAGTGTGCATTGAATCTTTGATTTCAGGCCACAATCATAATACTATACTAAAAATATGTGATTTTTAAATATATTATCAAAATTTCAAATATTAAGGTGCAGCTGGTAATTGTTCCTTTTATTTATAAAACAAACTTTTAAGAATTTGTTGACAATTTGTTTAACATAACAATTTTTTTTAAAATAATTTTTAATAACTACGTTATATGCTCGTTAATTTTTCAAAGGAATAAACATCTTCAATTTTTTTTTTTTTTAAAATGAGTCATCTATCACAGTGGCAAAGCCAAACTTTTGCATAATAAGGGGCAAATTTATATATGATTTTTGTAATTTAGGACAAATTAGAGAGGAGAACTGATCCTCCATTATGTTTAAAGAAATGTATTAGTCCTTCATTATTCTCTTTACCCCTAATTTTTAATAATATAATAGAGGAGATAATACAATTAAAAGAAAAAAAATAACTTAGGAAGTAATAGCCATTTTGAATATTTGTTTGATAGATTTGTTTATTAAAAATATTTTTTGATTTTTTTTATCCAAATAGTAGAAACGTTGAAAACAAAGTTTTTTTTTTAATTTTATTTTAATATTTGGAGTGTTTTTAGATTTTGAACTTAAAATTTTAAAATTTAAAATTACATTAAATAATACTTTAATAAATATGTTTTTTTCATGTTATAAATCAATTTAATTTTTGTTAAAATTAAAAAGGTAAATTGTAATATATTTATAAATGATATAATATTGTAAAATAATAATTCGACAAAATTTGTATCATATAGGGTAATAAATTAATATTCAACTTTCAAATCTAGTACCAATCACATCTCTCAAAATACTACAACGTAAAACAAAATTTTATTGTTCATTAAATCTATCATTTTTCAAATTTATGTTTTTAGATCATAATTAAATATATTCTGATTTATTATTTTATCAAATAATAATTTATCATTTTTTTTAATAGGTAGGGAATTGAACTCACAACCTTGGAGGTATATGTCAATTACCGACCCATAGGTTCAATTTTACAAAATTCAAATAATACAATACCTTACAAATATTAAAAGTTGGACGATTTTTAAGACTCACAATATAGAAACGATCACCAATTGTAGTTTAATTTGTAATTAAAAAAGAAAAAAAGCTTTGAGAATCCAAAGGTGAGCGCAATGGCCCACATCAAATTTCAAAGCCCACAAAAAATGGACCAAAGAAGCAAGCAACACAATTGGTAAAAATTTCCTCAGTCCTTCAAATATTCCTTCCTTTTTTTTAATTTTTATTTAAATACTATTTTCATCTCATTATTTTCGTTCATTTTTATACTTATATATTTAAAATATATATTTTGATCTATATATTGTAAACTTTTGTTCATTTTAATTTATATATCTTCAAAACATTCATTTTAGTACTTGAAATATAAAAAAGTAACTATTTTAGTCAATTTATTTTTATTTTGTTTGTTTCAATCAAAATTTATCCACTCAATTTATTCAAATTTAGTTATTCTATTAAAAAGTTTTCATTGTGTATAAAATTTGAGTTAAAATTTTGTAAATAAATAGTAAAATGGTTATTTTTTAAAATATATAGATAAAAACATACCTTTAGATTTTGAAACTATAAAAACTAAAACGAAAAAAATGTGAGAGTACAGTGATCAAAATAAAAGTTGAAAATACAGATATCAAAATAATATTAAATTTTTTTTCCGAAGATATAACCATGAATTAACAAGTCTAATGGCTTCAACAAAAAATCACTAGAAAAGAGTTTCAAGTTAACTAGGTAGTAGAATGATCAAAATTTATTGCTCTTTTATTACTCTCTACTCTGAACAGTTAAAAAAAATGGGACACATAATCAAAAGTTGTATTCATATGATAAACTTTCTTTTTATTTTAAATTTTAAGTAGTTGTATTGTCGGCCAATATGAAGCTTAGTGATAATTGACATATATTTATCCCTTCGAGGTCAGAGGTTTGATCTTCCATATCTCCAAATTGTTGTACTGAAAAAAGTTGCATTGTCGGTATCATTTCTTCGTATAATATAATCTTAGTAATTCAATTATAAGTTTGGTAGCATATATACAAAAGTATTATTAGACTCCACCTAAATAGATGCCATGAATTATTTTACGAAAAATAATAGTTCGATGTCATAACTCAACTGGTTAAGGTATATATATACACACACACACGAAATAGTTAAAGATATATATTTGATAGCGAAATAGTTAAAGATATATATTTCCGATCAAAAGATCATGGATTTGAATTACCATTGTTCTAGTAGAAAAAACTTAGAACCAAACAAATACATTTTAGATATTGTAATTATAGTAAATATTGTAGACATCCTTCCATAATTGACACACAAATATATGTATTGTCCTTTTAAATCACAAACTTTCTATAAGTAAATTAATAGTTTAAAAATATTTCACTTGTCCTTCAAGCAAGCATAAGATGGGAAATGTCTCTCTCACATGGTAATTTTTTGCAAATATATTCACACCCCACAGTAATTTGAGTTCATTGCAAAACCAAGAACCAAACTTTAACCATTTGAGAAAACATTACTAGTACAATCAAGTGTCAAATCAATACATTATCCTGTTTAGACCGGTTTGATGACTATTTATCTTTAATTTCATATTTTTTAAATTTAGGCTACGAGTTACTTTCCGATTGTTGACTAAATTACAAGAAAACAAAATCTTATATTCTAAACTTTAGTTTTTGCAAACTTTTTTTAGGGTAATATATGTCAATTACACTTAACTATGCCTGCTTTTGCATATATCCAAATCTGAATTTTAAGGATAAAAAACTAATGATAAAACTTAGGTGCTTACTTACTTACCACCGTTAAAAAAAAAAAGATGAATGGATAAAGAAAGAGTGAGAAAATATAGCTGCCAGTTTTTTAAGATGGATACCTCTAATTGATAAACACTTAAATTTTATCAAAAAATCAAAAACCAATAGCAGAATGATCATCAGACGATTAAGCGTAATTGATACTTTAACTATTAGACTCAAAACGAGCCAAATTAAAAGAAAAAACTTGAAATTCCCCCTTTGAATTACAAACACATATACATAAAAGCTAATTTAGACACAAAGTGTCTCCATCTTCGTTCCATATGTTGAAACATAGAAAATTGAATGAAATCAAAAGACATAGAGATCAGCCAATTCCTCCAAATTAGAATCAAAAGTGATGTTTGGATCAGAGTTTTCCAACATCCACAAGAGATGATCAAACAGAACAACTTCACACCTCACTGAAATGGCTTCACAATCCTCAGACTTGGATTTGGATTTGGATTTGGATTTATCAATCAGAGCATTTACCAAAGGGTGGCTCAAGAACTTTGAACTTATTACATATTTTTTTCTTGTGCTTCCAACATACATAATTACATTACTGCCCCTCACCTTTTCAAGCTGTTGTTGTTGATGATCTTCTTCTTCTTCTTCTTCTTCTTCCATTTTTGTTCCACAAATATTCCATAGATCTTCTCTTGTGGATTTGGACCTGAGGCTGCTGTATGAAGAGGACCTCCCCAGTTGCCTTGACAGGCTCTTGCACTTCCTCAATAGAGAATTTATCTTCTTCATTTCAATAATTCTCTCCTTTTTAGAGAGAGAGAGAGAGATTTGAGAGATTATATAGAAGACTTGAACAAGACTCTTAGAGAGAGAGAGAGAGAGAGAGAGAGAGGTTGGATTTGGTGCAAAGTCTCTGTTTTCTGGTGATATATACATCAATATCAGTACACTTTTGCCAACTAGACCATTGTTTTAAGTCATAAAAAGAAAGAAAAGCTATAGTTGTTTCATCATTTTTTTCAAGAGAGAGAGAGAAAAATAAATGTGGTGTACATGAAAGAAAGAAACAAAGCTATAGTCTTTCATTTTTCTATCGTACATCTAACATTTACGAAAGTGACAATCGTATTGCGTCAACCACATGGTTTCTCATACCAGTAATTTTATTATTATTGCACCGAATAATTCAGTTGAAAGTTCCCTCCACGTAATGCATGTATCTATATATGTGTTGTGAAAGGATATCTCACTGCTTTATTCATTTGAAAATTTTATCAAAATGATAAGATGAGGTGATTATCATTTATACTCTCGTTTGTGATTAGTTAAAAGGTTTAGAATTATATACGTAATAATAGAATAATATTTAGGTGCTTACAGTAGTGTGAGTTAACAATTAAAAAGAAAAATATATTTTTTCCATTCATATTTTCTAGTGGTTAGTTGTCTAGTGAGAATGAGATACTTACTTATCACTAACCAACTAAATACTATTCTTAATAATAAATTAATAAAATTCAACTCTAATACAATCAAAAAGAGGTTTTATATTGAATGTGTTATTTTGATCTGAACAAATGTTATCAATTAACCAAAAAAAATTATATATATAAGAAAACACTTTTAATTTTTAAGCTCTGAGAAATACTTAGTTTTTATCTTTATCTTTATCGTTGTTCGATTAAAAAAAGAAAAATGAAAAATCACTCCTAACTTTTTCACCATCGAGACAAGTGTTAAATTGTATTACCAAGACGATTCATGGCATTCGTGAATCATAATGGAGATTTTTTTAATCTAAAAAGAAAAAAATAGTAATAATAATAATAATAATGGAGATTTTGTTTTTTTAAGTAGGGCTTGATGCTTACTAATCATAGCTAAGCTAACGACCTAGTGCCATTCAATGAATGACATAGAAAGAAACAAAATTCCTAAAAATTATTTTAAAATTTTGAATAAATGTACCATGCATTTAAAATATCTAGTAAAACAAATTTCAAAAGTGTAGACTTACATAATTTATGTCACAAGTTTGTTATATTTAAAAATCAATATAGAATAGAAAGGGGCGAGTTTTAAAAATCTAAGTTCATTTAAGATTTAAATACTATTTTATCGTTTTGATTTATTTGAGTTAGTTTTAGTGATTGTATGTTCAACTTTTATCACTTAAGTATTCATACTTTAAAAATTTGTTTTGATTTTTGTATTTTGAAAAAGTGATTACTTTGATTATCATTTATAAAATTTGAACACAAATTTTACTTCCAATTAAAAATATTTAGTACAAATTTAGGATTACATTTCAAGGAATTTAGTAAGTAAAATATTGTTCTAAAAATAAGATCAAAATGAAAGTTAATAGACCAAAATAATAACTTTTTTAATAGTACATAATCTAAAATAAACGTATTTTATTATAGTGACCAAAATAATATTTATAAACTCGTAGCTTAGAATAAGTAAAACACATGCCAAACATATGTTTGTCTTTGAAACCCGACTCGTAAACCGAACATCCCCAAATTTCTTTATTCTTTTGAGAAAAAGGTGAGTTGGGGGAGATGTCGATTCTCCATTAGGGTAGATTTGGGAGCAAAAGGAGTTGTACCGTTGGCTGTTGTGTGATACCAAAAAGAAAAACACATAGCAATCATTACGTTTTTATAAACTTGTTTAATTTTTTGTGCCTACATCTTCTTAGCAAGTGGATTCAATAATGGTGGTGACACCATTCTTCCAAACAGAATGCATCATGTAAATATCGTTCATTACAAAATAGATTTTGGTTCTTTCTCAAACAAAAAAAAATATATATATATATATATATATATATATCCATAATTTATTTCAAAATTTGGCACTCAATTGAGAAGAATGGGCAAGGATCCAATTGCTTTTTCCCCCCTCGTTTTGGAGTTTAATTAATATGTTATGTATAATGTAATGGACAGGTTCACTCCAAAGGTCAGCTCTAGGAAACAAAGAGTTTTGAATTACTAAAGTTTCGTTCGATAACCATTTCGTTTTTAGTTAGTAATGCTTGTTTGCTCACAATTTCCCAAGTATGTTTTCACCTTTCTTAAAAACATATCTACAATTCTTATTAAAATTTCAAAAACAAAAACAAGTTTTTGAAAACTACCTTTTAAAAAAAAATAGGTAGCAAAACAAAGAAATACATTGGTGAAACTTGGGAGTAGTGTTAACAAACTTAATTTTCAAGAAAAAAAAAACCAGAACTAATATGATCATCAAACGGGACATGAGTTTTTCACCTAGAGACTTGAACCCAAGACCTCGAAAAACATCTCGAAACATCCCGAGCCTTCGGCACGAGGGTCAGCCCTAGATCTCAAGGGTGAAAACGGTGTCATGTGAAAAGACTAAGGGGGTAAAGGGAAAGGAAGATTGGATTGAAATGGGCAATGCATGAGGGGGAATGCCCCACAGAGAATGGCCATTTGACTGAGAGGATTGTCGTGTAGAGTGGAAAGACAAAGGGAATGCACGTGCAGATATTTAGAAGGAATTATGAATTATGATGCAGTGTACATAAAACATAGAATTGCAAAAGGCCACACCACATGCCCCATCTTACCCCAACCACAGACACCCATTTTGCTCGCATTTTCACAATTTGGTGCATGCACTGCCCCTCACTCCACACCTTTCTCTTATCAATCCATTCAAACCTCTGCAACTTTGGTTCAATAGTTTTTGAACTTGTGAACTTCTTTCGACTGTTTGAAAGTTTGTTAAATCAAGTAACTTGTGCAGAAGAACAAGTTCTGAAAGTTTTAATCTATGTAATTTGTGTTCGAGGGGTGGATTTGTGGTTTGAAGTTCGTATATGATAAGAGAGGTAGGTTTTGGAAGCTTATGATGTGATTTTTTTAATATCCATGAGCATTTGAGCCAGTTTGGACGCACCTCGATTAATCTCACGAGACAACTGTCTGACCTCTACTACATTTGGTTGCCAAAGAAACTTGTGGGATATTAAATTTTAGGTAGGTGATCACTATGGTTTGACCATTTCTCTCTAAGCCTTTTACTATTTACTTTGGTTTTTATTGACCACTAGGTCAACCCATGATAGCATCCCAAATCTGTGTGTAATAGCCAGAGGCTCGATGTTTGGCTTTAGAGTATAGAAACCTCAAACCTGACTTACAAAGCAACCACTATTCCTTGGCTTTCTTTTTTCCTTTTTTTATCTTTAAAGGACAACGAGTGAAGGAGAAAATTTAATTTGCTCCCCAATACAATAAATATATAAACTCTACCATGCATAGGTTAAAGTACTCATGCATGAATCTCTTTTAGACAATTTTTTTTTATATATCTCAAGTGTTTGGACTAGCTTACTTGCACCTCGACTAATCTCACGATACAACCGTCTGACCCTACAATATTTGATGCCGAGAAACACATAGGAATTATTAATTCCTAAGATAAGTGACCATCGGGGATTTGAACTTATTCCCTCTTAATTAACTCGCTCTTTTGGACCAATGAGCCACCCTATGATGGTTAATTGTTTTTAGACAACTACTTTCAAATAAAAGGTGCTAACCTACGACTTATTGATACTCTATCTCCGACCAAAAGGTCATGAATTTGAATCACCATCGCAACATGTTGTAATTAAAAAATAAAAAAGAGCCTACCAATTTGAGCATAGTTCAGTTGATTAAAATATCTATCTCCGACCAAAAGATTGTGAGTTTAAATTTCCACCCAAGCATGTTGTAATAAAAAAAAATACCCTATAAAAAACCCGACAACTTACAAAAAAATATATATATTTGGTATAGTGATCAAAATAAATAGAAATCTATCTAAGCAACATTGTCACCAAAAGAGAGACATTTTGTTTGTTTTCTTTGATATTTGTAAGAGTCTGTACCAGTTTGTATGCACCTCAACAATTCTTACCGAACAACCATTTGACCTATTAAATTTGATTGTCAATAAAACTTATAGAATATTAAATCCTAAGTAGGTGAGCCCCACCTTTACCATTATGAACATTAGTATTCATTGACAACTAGGCTAACCTAGGATGGTTGGAAGATATTTTGAGATTGGATCATATATCAAAGTTCAATAAATTAATTTGAACTGAACCAACCCAGCCCCGAACTTATAAATGTCTTCTACCGTTGAAAATTAATTCTGATGGATTGGTCAACTCAATCCATAAAGCAACCAACATCATGCAAATTCAACATACTCAAACCACAATAAAACCAAAACAAAGTTATAACCAAACTAAATCCAAACCATTTGACTTTAAGTTAGATCAGACTTTGAGTTATAAAAAATAGCCCAAATAATAATAATAATAATTATTGTTATTATAATCGTTAAGGATCACACATTGAAAAAAAAAGAAAACTTACATAGGTTTATGATAGACATGTGTTACTCCTCTCCTAGTCAATTAGTTTTGAGATGGAATCTCATGAATATTGATATGGTATCAGAGTCCAAAACGCTCAAACGAACATCCGGTCAAAAAATGGGATCCAGTCAAGATCGATAAACCAAAAAAACCACGATCTTGAGGGGGCATGTTAAGGATCCCACATTGAAAAGAAAATGGACCTTGCATAGATTTATGATAGACATGAACTACTCCTCTCATGGTTATTGATTTTGAGAGAGAATCCATAAATATTGATAATAATATTACTTCAGAATTTTCCACCTTCTGGTTTGATTTTTTTGGAACTTATTATCCCCATAAATAATTAAAACGAATCTCTAATTACAAGAAAGGGAACACCAAATCTAGCAGTGTATGATGATGTCTCTTCTGCCCAAGCAAGCATGGGCACAATGCAGATTTTAATGAGACTGGCTCTGTATTATTTCAATGCATTTGATGTAATATTATATGTGTGTTTATATATATATATGATATTTTATTACCTTTCTGTTCCTAACCAACATCCCATCAAAGTACTAGACTAGTCGTGCCTAAATAATGCTATAAATGCAATAATGAATTTTGAAAAATAATTAAAGAAATTCTTTCTCCACATGCAACATTCCTCGATTGACAAACATTTTTCTAACAGAAATCGAATTCAAATAAAATCATGATTATGGTGAAATTCAAGATGGCAAAAATACAGGATTTTTTTTAAGAAAAAAAATTGTGTACCTGAAACTTGAAAGAAAGAAAAAAAGGAATATGGTAGTTTCGCAAGTAATGACAAAATAAGATAATTTATCAATAAATTGTGTCTACTAGAGACATTTATTAATACTCATATTCTACGCAAGTTAGGACTGTTTCGATTTTTTAGAAACATAAACATTTGGTGATTGTTCTTATTTTTTATTTCTCGAAATTTTGAAAACAACAAAATCAAGTTTTTTTGGTTTCTTTCTCCATTTTTAGTTTTTTCCAAATATGAATAAAAATACTATTTTATTATTATTGACTTATAAAAATGCCTTATAAATATTAAAAAATAAATATAACATTACAAAAATCCAATATTTAATTTAAAATTTTTAATTTCATACTAAAATTTTAACTTTTCTAATTAAAATTTTAGAGAATGAAAAACAATAAATAGTATTTTAACATATTTTTATTTTTTGCATAAAAAAAATAAGAAATAAAAACGTTACCAAACATGTTCGTTCTTGTCCACATGGCTAATGTAAGTCATGTTTCTTAACCCTCGTCAAGGATCTAGTAGGCGCACACTAATTTTGTCATTGTTTTTTGGAAACCACCCTATTTTAACCAATATTTTAAAACTACCCTATTTGTGCAAGAACCCAGCAAAAGAAAACCATGAGGAGAGGTAAAAATTATGATAAGGATAATGTTAGTAGCCCTTTCACCATCATTGAAATAAGAGGAACTGAGCTCCTTTAAATTTCAATCTAGTCCATTAAATTTTATGGATTATGTTTTCTTCAAGTATTTGAACCATCCAGTAAATCTGGATGGATATATCTACCCAACTGGATCCCTGAGGGAATCCAATGCTATAGCAAATAGCAATGTGTATTGCTTTTCTAAAGGTACACTTTTTGACAAATACCAAGGCAGTTTTAAAAACTTAACTACCAAGAATAAACAGGCAGGATATGTCTTGCTTAGAAGCAAATGCATTATTATATACCTCTTGTGATCATTATCTAAATATTGCCAAGACAGCAAGCCATTGAAGTCAAGGAAAAATCAGCAATTGACAAGGACTAGTTATCTAGTTAGGATAGTTATCATTTTTTCAGGATATTGACATCATCAATAAAGGAAAAAAAAAAAAGAAACAATTTCAAAATAATTCATTATCCAACAGATAATTCTATGAGAATATGCACGTACCTGTTTCTTTCCATCCAGCTAAAGTTTCACCCCTTCACTCAATCTCGAATCCGCTCCCACTGTACAATCTGCTCGATAATTAAGTTTACTCGTGGCTGGCATTATCAATAACAATAGTCTGATAGGACTCAAACTGAAAATATATTGAAATATAAAAAATAGAAAACCACAATTACTCGGTAGGTACTTGAACCCTTCCCTCTAAATCACACTAAACAATTACCTACCTTCATCATTTGTCCCTCACTCTATCTATAACAAATTCTCCTAACAACTTCCTTAACTAATTAATATACCCTAATAATATTCATAATCTATCCTAATAGGATTCCTATTAGAACCCGGAGAAACTCGAAGACAGGTATAATATGTCATCAGTCCAATAGTTCCAAGGAATACAAGGACGGATGAAGTTGGAAACTAGGATGTCTCCAAAATAAGGATTTGAGTAATCCTAGATGTCAATCATACAGCACTTATTCAGCAACTACTTACAATTTTTTTCTTTTGATAAGAAACAGAGAGAGACAGAGATTCATAAAAGGGCAAATGGGTAAAACCCCAGGGGCCGGAAGAACTATAAATTTCAAATACATGGGTATCAGTTATCAGCATTTAATTGCATCTGAAATAAACCAGAAAGTGACGACCAATTCAGATTATGAACTGAAAGTGAACCAAGTGCGTCTTTCAGGGCACTTGCCTAGTGTAGCTGGAGCAGGGTGACATTTTTTTCAGCATAGAAATTTCCTTTTTGAGTACAATTAAATGCATAAATAAGCAGAAAGAAGAAACATGTAATGTTGATTAAAATAAAATACAACAGAAAGAACATGCCAGTGACTTTACAACTTACCACGCCAAGGTAATGACAATGCTTCCATTGTTCTTCATAGCTCAAACTCCAATAGTAGTCCAGCCCAGTAATTCTGTCTCAGTCCTCTTTATCCACGTGGAAACTCTTAGTCTTCTACTCTCGAGGTGAAGAAGACCAAGGAAAATTTCCATGAACATTTCCCGGGAAAGGAAAAGGGATTACTGGATTTGTATAATAGAAGAAAGAAAAAATAAATGCTCATAAATAATTGATTTAATACCACCGGTTACAGATCCCCTTCCCACCGCCAACCAATTACCCTGCCATTTTGTGTGTGTAATTCTTCATTTTGTAGCCTATTACTATCTTCTCATGTACTGAACTATGCACTCTACATTCAAAATTGTAAACTCATACTTGGCTGCCATAGATCAACAAAGACGAACTGAAACAATGAGGATTCCCAAAAACATCACATAAGAAATTGACTTCGAGTCTTCAACTGACTTTGCATGAAGAAAAATCACTTCATTTTCCGCCTCTCGGACACCTTGGTCAAACTCTGAAACCGCTAAACATTGAAACGAAAGAGCATGATATCCCCTTCCTGGACAATATATTCTTTTCCCTCAGCTCTCAACTGCAATAACATGTAAGCTTCAGTGAGTGGAGGAACTCCTTTCACTATTGATGGAACAAAAACGCAGAAGCCTTGAGGCCTCGTCCAACAAAGGGCACAAAAGAGAAAATTTACTGAATAGAGTTCAAGAAAACTATCCCATTCAACAAAAATCACAAGGAGAACATCCTGAACCCAGCTCAAAAGGAGATATTAAAGTACATAGCACTCTCTCCTCCTAAGACAAATTCCTACCTCAAAGGTTGTCTGAAGCCTGACATACTCATAAATTTTTTACATGCTTTATTCATAACGGCCATTTCTTCTCTTTTGTGCGTGGATTCTCATTAACATCAAGAAGAACGTAATATTCCTCCATAACCATACCCATCATAAAAATTTGGCCATTAATGGACGGTAGGCAGAATTATCAGTCATTCTGTATATAACATGACATTTCCACCGTTTTATTTAAAGTAAAAAACAGATATTTCATTCGGCCGTTTCTTTTTAAGGTAAAAAATGGATATTTCATTGATGATATGTGTTTAACCCTTGAATTTTGAAGACACGTCATTCCATCTTAATTAAAGGGGGAGTCAACTGAGCACAAGGTCAGGTCAGGACCGAACTGGACACACGACCGGGCTGGACAACAAGATAAACGGTTTACACCACTATTTATGCCATAACCATCAAACCGCTCCCCCACTCAACACGCAAGTTCCCTATTTTCATGGAGAGGGAACCGTTTTATTTCAAAATGAGGAGCCAAACTCCTCAACGGTCATCTTTTTGCCTTCTTCATCTATAAATACTATATGGGCAAATGAAGACGGTATGCGAAAGAAAGATTAACAAACATACTCTTATATTACTTACTTGACACAGAGATTAACTTGATCGTCGGAGTGCTATTTTATCTTTTGCAAGTTTAAGATCCAAAAGTGTTCTCAAGGAATTATTGTGATTATCAATTTTTCGGTAAGAACAATATGAAATATACAGGTACCCCAAAGGCTGGATTCCAAAAGGGTCTTCCAGCTAGTTAACAGAACATTTAGGCTATAATTTGTAAAAGAAGAGTAGTAATGTTTACGCACAGCCAAGAGCTAAGAGCATAACTTTATCAAAAAAATATTAAATGGGAGAAAAGTGTTGTTGATGATCCTGTTGTTCCTTTCCATTCAAATACTCCAAAAAATATTTCAAAAATATCGCAGCAGCTTTTACTTTCTCCTATTCCTCCATGATAATAGAATTGTTAAAAAAAAAAAAAGTAAAGCCACCACATAGCCATCTCCAGTGGGCTACATCCTCTGAGGTAAATGTTAAGCTTGAACTATGACCCATTGGCTCCACGGTAAAATGTTACATGGACTCGTTCACTTAAGCTCATAAATATTAGTCTATTTAAGTAATTTAGCCACTGATTTTGTGTGAAAGATTCAATGCCATAAATATCCCATGCTTTTATACATACCTCTATTTGTTAGAATTCAAAGATATAGTAATGAAACTACCAACTTACAAGTCCTTTCTCCCTTGCGGCTGCAAATGAACCCGCAGCAACAAAGTCATCATAGGCCACCTAAGTAAAATAAAATAAAAATTTCAGAAAATGAAAATCCGGAGATACAATTTAAAGAAGAAAAGGGATGTACAGAAACATGGATTCTCATCACCTAAGATATAGGCCACTTGGAGTAACTAAGAAGGATATAAGTAAATTCTTCCGCTAGTGGAACAGGCCTATTGCCTATTGATCTTTTGAATTAGTTAATTCATTTGCTTATCTGTACCGTCATAAGGTAACAATGCTTGTTGCCTCATTCTAAAACTTATATAATATAGTTTGGTTATTCTTTTCAGTAAAGGATAGCTTAAAAATTCTTATTCAGTAATTCCATTTTCAGAAAATAACAACTGACACGAAAATAGTTGTTTCAATAAATTCCTTGAATTGTAGTATGAAACATTTAAATATAAGTACTTCTTATTCGTAAATAAGAGAGAAGCCTTCAATTTCTCTCCACTCCACTTGCATAAAGGAATTTGAATGATATACTTAGTTTTATTAGTTGGTTTGTTTATCTGCTAAAAGGTTAAAGCTGAATACAATATACATCTTTACTTTCACAAGTAAGATTTATTTGTACATGTAGAAGTTTAACTGAGAAAATTGAAGGCTTTCAAACTCTCAATTTATTAGCCAAAAATACTAGTAGAAAATCTAAAGATGGCAGCGGACTAAATTGAAGGAGGCCATTGAGTCTTGTAAATTTTGAAGGATTTACTGAGCATGGTTATAAGGGGCCGAAGAAACAGATTACAGATTGGTGGAGATGCTATAAAACATTTACTCTCACCGTCTCTGCACGGATGAACCCTCTCTCAAAGTCGGAGTGAATGACTCCAGCAGCTTGTGGTGCAGTCATTCCTAGATCAAATCAAATCAAATCGAACAATTAAACACCAAGGGTAGTCATATTATGCAAATTATAATGTTTCTTTCATACTTCCAGAAATCATGCATGATTTGAGCTTTGTTAATCAAAATAGTAATGAAGCACACCAGCGAGGAGGTGATAAACATAAGTTAAATGATCAAATGCACCTTAATTCAATAAGGTTAGCTTTTAAACTTTTGAGATTAGCAGTAGAAGTATACTACTTTTAATGGTATTTCTATATACCCACCAATTTATCTCTGTCGGTCATACTGGCAAAAGCAGGGGTTTCGGCCGGTTTACCTAATATTGGATTTGAGCACATCTAAAAAGAATCAAAATTCTTTCTAAACATATCAAAAATTCTTTCTGAACATATCAAAATTTCACTCATCCACCCACCAGTGTCCTCTAATTTTTTTTCTAATGAGACGTGCAAGCTTCCTACTGGTCAAATGAGGGCTTCAAACTCCCCTGGGAAGAGGGTGGCAAACAATGGAGGCCATGGCAGTTAGTTTGATACAGAATAAATATGCCGTTGCACTTAAAATTGTAATTGTCATATACTTTTAGCAATGTCGTGAATCAAGTGTAACATTCTAGGTGTATCATTGGAAAAACCAGATCCTAATTCATCTAAAATGAACTCCATGAGAATAAACTAGTGAACCTAAAACTCCCTGAAAAAACAGATTTAAATATAATCTCCAACATCCATTGTTATAGAAATTATTGTACCAGTATTTGGACCAAGTTGCTATAGAAGGATTTGTAACAGATCCCACATAGAGACCAATTTAGCATATATCAACATAGAAATCTTTCTTCGGCATACATAAACTATGCATGCAAGGAGTAAATCCATTGAGTAGAATCAGGCCAGTATCAATTAATTTACACAATTAGCAAAATTGAAGCAAACCTGAAAGTATGGTCCAGGCTTTTGTTTCCTGTAAAGGCCCCGCAAACAATCTATTAAATGGATATAAAAATTGTAATAAAAATATGAAAATTATTGTCCAAAACCCTACCTTTTCGCCCGAAGTAAAATATGTACGGAGTCCCAAAAGGTTATAGGTTGCCCTGATAAGATTTCCAAGGCCACTTTCACTTACACCAAGAGATTTTAAATACTCAAACCTCTCTTCGGATGGAAGTTCTGAGAGCTCTGACTCAACCTGAAAATATAAAGCTCCTTAGTTCAAATTTTCACCACTCATTGTCAAAGGCTTTAGTCTAACTCATTTTGCAGGAAATGACTGAGAGACAGATTTTTAAAAATTTCCAACCTGTGCAGAAACTGTTACTATTCCGGATTGCAACTCTGATGCAAGAGTCATAACTTCTTTAACATGAGGATTACTTGCAGGTTCCGCAAGATCAGATTCTGCAACATTGGCCACATATATAACTGGTTTCACTGTGAGCAGGCAAAGATGCTTTATAGCATCCTTTTCAAAATCTGTCAAAGTTACTGATCGCGCTGGCTTTCCATCCATAAGGACCTTCTGAATTTTTTCCAATGCAGATTTCTCTGCTTCCTCCTTGAAGAGAGAAGAGAAGAAAACAAAAGTTCAAGAAAATATATGAACCACCCGTGGGTAAAAAAGATAATGCGAAGAGAACGAAATGGATGGTAGCATCATTAGGAAACATGATGATATAAGGCACATACATATAATGATATAAATTTGGGAGACAATTCAAGAAGACACGAATGCCTTCAGAAACAAGGTATTAATAGTATATTTATCAAAGTTTCAAACATAAAAGTGTTGTTTCCAGCAATTTTACTGTTTGGACCACAGAATCCAAAAATGTCTTTAAATAATGACTTCGTCAAAGAGGTTCAGGTCTTGAAAAGGGCACTGGTGCCCTAGAGTATAGGGGAGCAAAACTCCGACTCACCGTTATAAAAATAATAATAATAATAACAACTTTGGCAAATAGATATTCACTTAATCAAATTAAGTAAATCTAAAAACAAGAAATGGAATCTGGGTTAGATACCAAACAAGCCCTTCATTTGCATTATAACCTTATTTTTCCATTGCTAATGATTCTTCTTCTTTGACCAAAACATTTTTAGATTTAGATCAGATTTTTACAAACAAATCTAATCATACTTTTAAAGCAATGTAATAGTTAAATCTATCACAAAATTATTATCGAGGGAACAATTTATAGGAAAGCAGCAAGCAGGACTTGTGCGAGATCAACACACCTTGACTTTAGATTGTGAATCCCTTGCTTTGCCTTTCTTGAGCTTCTCTAATCTTTTCTCAATCTGCATCTCTTTTAAAACGTAAAATTTAGTTTGATCAGAACATCAAAATAAGAGCAAGGAGACATCGCACTCAGTGGATTCTAATGAATTAATCAAATGTCATAGACGGCAGAATGTTAGAAAAAACCTATGCCAACACAACCAACTACACTGCTAAGACAATTTCCTCAAGGAAATAATCTTGCTCCGAGAGTAGCATCTTATAATACATTTGTATGCATCCAATATAAAAATCAAAAATAAGAAAGGCAAACATTAAACATTTTCTTATTGATGCGCCCAAACTAGGGAATGAGCTAAACTACTATGGTCAAAGAATTTTTCACTTCTTTTTTCAGCTCAAAAGTAGAAACCATGGTGGCACCATTACTCATACATTATTCTTCAATTTTTATAATAATCTCCTTTGACATGAGTTGGGAGAATAGCTTATCTTCCCTCCATTTTCCTTACTTCTCTCTTTTCAATGAAAGTCATTTCTTAAAAAAGACAATGGTATTAATAATTTTTCGATCAATCACTAGTATTCTATAAATAGAATGGGAAAAGTATTACCAATTTTTGGAAAGAACTTAAAATAGCTGTATCAACTTTCGATGTTTTTATTGTTTTTTTTTGTAAGAACTTTCTGATTTATGGTATTTTTATTCAGGTATCAAAAGCTCTAGCAATATCAACTCTATGTTACCATAATTTGAACCATCAAGGATAGAAGAGAATGAAAGAGGGCACAGAATGCAAAACGTTCAAACAGCTCCTAAGTTCTAAGACTTCTTTAATTTGAACCATCAAGGATTGAAGAGAATCAAAGAGAGGACAAACTGTCAAACGTCCAAACAGCTTCTATGTTCTAAGACTTTTTTTTTTCTCTTTAGAACTCTAAAGCATGGGATCTCATCAAGTCGCCACCCCTGTTCCCATATAATGAGTAAACTTGTAAAGACCCGAAGGCAAAATTTCACATGATTATAGCCTGCATACCAAAAGCAGCAAAAGCTTGCGTATGAATATGGAAAAGGCTCAATGATATTACCTGGTCCAAATCTGAAAAAACAAGCTCTAAGTTAATCACATCAATATCAGCTTTTGGATCAATTTTCCCATTGACATGAACAATGTCATTATCCTCAAAACAGCGGACAACCTGAAATAAAATAATAACAATAAACTCTTTAACAGAGCGAGATTAAGTACTGAAAAAGGCAAGAAAAACCCAGATTATTCTTAGAGCTTCCACGACATTGCTTGTACCTACGAGACGTGCATACGTATTATAGAACAAAAAATAATATAATAATATAAAATAAACAATTTTTATAAAACACTTAATATTGCATCAGACAGTTAATATTGTAGAGAAATAAACCAAAACGTCTGTTAAACCGGTATTATTCTTAAATAAGTAAGTATGTATTCTGAGTATGATGATGAAATTAAAAAATAATTAAAATATAAAACAACCTGAAGTATTGAGTCCACCTCACGAATATGGGATAAAAATTTATTTCCCAATCCCTGCAGTAATCAAAATAAAGGGGAAATTGTTTTTTAAAAAATCCAATAAATACCACGAATGCAAGATAAATGAAAAATGAAATTCGTAAGCTTACCTCTCCTTGACTGGCGCCTTTTACTAACCCAGCAATATCTACAAATTCTATTGATGCTGGGACCGCTCGTTGAGACTTGCTGAGGTCAGAAAGTTTATGGAGACGAGGATCTGGAACAGCAACTATTCCTACGTTTGGTTCTATTGTACAAAAAGGAAAATTAGCAGCTTGGGCCTTACCGTTTTCAACCTGCAAAGTTAAAACCATCATAGATAATACACCTCAGGTGAGATTGATGCAAATTCCCTAATAGAAGAATGAATTGAAAGATAAATCAGTCCAGTTCACGGAATTAAATATTTGAAGAGTAGTTCAGAAGTCAAGTAAGCTTCCACAATCGGTACTGCGTTGTTTCTCAGAAAAAAGCATGATAAACACCAGTATAAAATCAATTACGATGTATCTCGCATCAAAATGTGTTAAAAGATATTCTGATCGGAGAAATTCAGTTAGAAGAAATCAATAACGTTCATTACACCGAGTGAACATATCAAATACGAGAATCAAGCGCTGTTAGTAGGACCGTGGAAAATCAAAACAGTAAAATTCAATAGTTCGTAACTCCTGGTGCACAATTTCACTATCCACCATCTGAAACGATAATTCTCCAATGGATTATTTAGAAGCAATGGAGTATTTCGAAAGTAACCATCGGCTCCATAGCTCAGAATCCCAATTACTGCTAATTTTGAAACATGAGATACAGAGAGAGCAGAGATTAGCTTACAACGGCATTGAAGAGAGTGGATTTTCCAACGTTTGGGAGGCCAACAATGCCGGCTCTGAGGCTCATGCTAATCTTGGACGCAGAAGAAAAGCGTCGCCCAACCACCATAACACGGTCGAAATGAGAGGCTCTGGAGAATAGAGAGGGAGTTCCGAAGAAGGAGGATTTGGAGGGGAGGAGCAGAGCCGGAATAATGTGAGAGCAAGCTGCTCTGGCCATGGCTGCCGCGCACCTGTTGCAGCTCGGACCAGAAACACAATCCGATGGAGCGAAAGCGAAATCGTTATCGCCGCAAAATCGACAATTGAAATCGAAAGGTGCGAATACCAGAAATTCTATTGACCATACACAAGGATTTTTTTTTTCTAGGCTAAATTAAAAAATAAATAGTTAAGAAAATCGTAAACTTTACTATTTGTTTCCAAAATACTTTGCGGTTAAATTTCAATATTTTTCGTAAACATTTGTCATTTGTTTCAAAAATATTTTGGGGTTAAATTTCAATATTTTTCATAAACATTTCAAAATTTCGAACTTTTTATTTAACATATCTTAGTGATGTTTGCTAAAAAAAATATATTTCGGACGTAAGGGATCCTTCAAAATGTATTAAAATACATCTTATTTTTGTATTCTTATTAAAATAACAATCTATTTGTATAACTTTAATTTAAAATTTAGTCTTTGTACTTAAAATTGGTAAGAATTTACTAAGTAACAATTTTGGTCCATGTAATTTAAGATCGGTAATCATTTAGTTTTTATAGTGAAAAATATCATCAAAGTTAAAGTATCGATTTTTGTCAAATAACGATTTAGTCTTTATAATTTATAAACATATGTTCATCATCGATTTATTGATTTACATTATAAAATTAAAAAAAAAAACTTAGACGGGAAAGTGGTTGAGATAGCTCAGGCGATTAGAAGAGAGGATTGAAAATCATCATGTCAGTAGTTCGAATCCACCTCTAAGCAAATGGTCCAAATGACCAAAGACTAATTAATTGCATGGATACAAACTAAAATTCGGTGAGTATTGGAACTCTTTAAATTACAATAATAATTTTTTAGATGGTGTATGTGTGTATTTTTTTTTCCAGTTTAAACTATTTTATTATTTTCATTATTATTATGGGTTTTTTTTTTTTTGAAACATAGTAAAGTAAGGGTTATACTATAAGTTTCTATAAGTTTAGTTCTCAGTATTTGAGCACTTATCTTCGACCAATGTTATATTCAAACAAGAATTCGAATTCTCGCTCTCATATATTATACTTGAACAAACGGTAAATATAGGTTAATTTATTCCTAGCATTTAGTTTAGTATTGTTGGAAACGACAGAGGAAAATGTATAAAAATAAGTAATATTTTTAATATAGTTTATATTTTAAAGTCTTAATTAACCATTTAAATGTTAATAAATTAACTATTTAACATTATAATTAATTCATTCATTTTATTTTGTAACGCTTTAACTAATTAATTCATGTAAAATTATTTTTTTACTTATTCGTTTTTTAAACTAAACCGAGTATTCTTCTTGGAGGGGGATACGATGAGAAGATTTGAAAAAATTATATGAGCATGTTTTTCGATTTCATTCGACTATGAAGAGTGAACGCCTGAGTTCGAATTTGTATTAACCTTGGTGAGCAACCGACTAACATACGATGTAGTCATCTCCACAGCACGACAACAATTATTTTTTCATCTAAATATCTTCTGCCGACGAGTATTTATGGCTTTATTTAATTTTATGTTTTATAAGTCTACATTATCTTTTACCGACCATGGTGTCATGTTTAATACAAAATTTTTGAAAATATATTAAAAATATAACTAATTAGAAAAAAGTATGGTACTCCACTGTCGAAACAAGAATTGTATCTTCAACTTTTTCACGTATAGTCGCACTTTTTTTTTTTTAAAATTCATCCACAAAATGTTGGTCGAATCTAAAGTCAAAAGTCAAAAAATATTTTAATGGATTTGATTCGTGTCCATTTGAATGGATTCGGTCAATTCTACACAATTTTTTCATTACCAATTTTATGTAATCTAAAAATATAGTTTGTTTTCCAAAAGCGAGTAAACTCAACCGTAATCAACATATATCTCAAATATTCTCCATTGTACTAATATATATATATATATATATATATATATATGTAATTTGTTTTAGTTATCTCATTATAATTAAAATTGAAAGCTAATAAACCTAAGTTATCTCTGTATCTAGTATTAATATTTATGGGTTCCATCTCAAAATCAATTGAAAATGAGAAGAGTCTTGGCTAGTGTAGTAGACTCCATGAGAGGTCATTCGGAAGGGCTCCGTATAGTTCGATTTTGGGGCGTAACATTGTGGTTGTTCCCTCGACTGACCGAGAAAAACAAGTGAAAGAGGCATCTTCCATTCATATCGATTTTGGTTTTTCTGCACCATATTTAGATMTGCCTCTTCTTCGATCCGGAATTCCCAGCAAATCCTTGACTCCTCGAATACAATGGGATTTCACACYTGGCGAATCTTTCACTCTACATCCTCTTATTAACACCATAGAATGTTCCTGCAAATTATGACCTTCGCCCGGAATGTGAGCAAATATATCATGTCGATTGCTCAACCGTACTTTGGCTATCTTACGTGGCATGTCTA